TTCCTTTTTATTCCATGATTATAAATTCTAAAAGGGCCCGCTACTATATACAAAAGAAATGAACCCGATATCTCATAGATATATTACATAGACAGTGTTGTTATACAACAGCTACCTCCATTACAGCCGAACACCACGCTTTCATTGAAAAGACAGCACCTGGAAAGCAAAACGTTTTCTAGAATCTATCAGCGGCGGAAAAGAAAAAGATGCGGCATAGTTCCATATTGCGCGGATCTCTTTTTTCCAGCATCGCTATTGCGGCAGCCTGCTGCACCGACTCATTTTCTGAAGCTTTCAACGCCCAGCGTTGGGGTTTCGACCATTCGATCGCAGGGTACGCCCTCATCGCGTCGCCGGGCGAAGAAACTGTCACATTCTGAGACAATTTGGGCCCATTCCGCAAGAGCACGTCCCACGTACTTGTTCGCAACAAGTGGGTGGCTTATCGCAGGCTCTGGAGCTGGTGTACTGGAACCCTTCTCAGATTCCGAGCCGGTGTTGGTGTTCTTTGAGGTCTCTGTCTTCTTGGCTGAGGGTGGGTCATCTCGGGCGCTATCGCTCTCAGCTTCTTCATCGGAATCTATGTCGGATTCGTCGTCTGCATCAGCAGATCTGCGCAGCTGCAAGTGCAGCTGGGCTGCCACAGGCAGACAGGGAGTGAAAAGGCGCTTGTTTTTGCTGGGCCATTGAGGCCGGTCCATCCACTCCAATGAAAACTTAAAGGAGTAAGGCTGGTGTGCTGTCTTTGGTCGGGAGAGTTCTCCAGAGCTATTATTCGACCGGGAGATCTCATCCATGCGCTTGTCAGCAGATGCTGCGCTATCAGACCCAGTTGTGTCCAGTGACTCCTCAGAGCTACTAGAAGGTGATGCCTCGCCATTGGATTTCGAGGAAGAGCCACCAAACATAGCTTTCAAGAGATTCCATCTCTTTTTAGGTGGCTGCGTCTCAGAAGACGTGGATTCTGGTTTCGCGGAGCTGCCGCTTATGGAGGCCGCGCTCTGCTCGGGAGGTGCCGCAGGGATGACGCGGTCAAATGAGACAAAAATACTAGGTGGAGTGAAATGATTATCACATCGGATGATGATGATTCTGCGCCCGGGTGCTGGAGTACAGGGCGCTGAAGATAGCGGCACCGTAAGTTCCCTTTCAGCTTTTGCTTGAAATGTCAGGTAATATTCCCAAAGACTTTGTAATCGGCTCCCCAGCACTTCATAGATTGTTCTACAGCAGCCTGGTTAGTATCGTTCTTTTCCCACATCAACATCCCGAAAAACCTATGCACTTACGAATCGAGCGGTGACGGGTCCCCGTTAAATCTACCCAATCTCCAACAAAGAAGACGATGAAAGTAGGCACGGACCATAGGGCTCCAGTGACAGAAGTAATGGTAAAATAACGACTCTTTCAGAAGAAACCCTAGGCAAAGGTCTGCCTTTCGCTCTTCTGAAGCGGTCCATGTGCTCCACACGCAGAAGAGGAAGGAGAACACACGGACTTCAGTAAGAGAGTTATGGCTTTGCATCATCCGATCGCAAACTTCAAGCCAGAATTTCCAGTCAAACAAGTCCGACTTGACCGACTGGGAATATCGTGTTATTATAGGAATGACTTCTTCAACGAAATCGCATAGTAAAAAGCAGGCATTATGATCAAACAACGAGGTCTTTCCAGCGGCGGTTTTCATAACCATAGCAAAGGACTCGGCATATAGCAATCGGGCATGATTTGGTTCAACAGAAGATTCAGAGAGAAAATCGCGTAACAGTATAATTAAACGGTTCTCGGCCATCGATCGATGGCTGTTCGCAGCCCCCAAAGGAAGAGCCGAGACCGAAGCATCAGCACCTTCAATAAAATCGTCGAACGTGATTGCGGCAGCAGTGTGTGAGTTTGTTGGTGCCTGGGGGACTGACTGTTTATATAGAGTGTCCTCCAGAACGACAAGAAGTTGTGCGTGTATTGGCAATAAGCCTGGCGCCAAGACACGTTTGTCTTTGTCAACGTCTGCAGGCAACGCATCAGCGTAGAGTATGTGTATATATTTGACAAATACAAAGAACAAGTCGCTATCACGGCCACTCCAGCGTGAAACCCAAGGGCTCTGCCACCGAATCTGCGCCGTGCTCAAAGGAACATCGGGCTTTCGGCGGAGATAGCGAACTAATGGCGTGTGGCTATGGAAAGATAACGAGCGAAGAGCCGCCGGGAAGTTCAGCGCCAGATCCTGTGTAAATGCGCGTGCACTACCACTGCCATCTACATTCGACTGGGTAAGAACCCGTCGGAAGATGTTGGGCGGCGTGTTCCACAGCCGAACAAGAATGTCGGCCACTCCTGGGCAGAAGAAAAACGCATAGGCACAAGCTTTCCCGCAAAAAGCCACCAAGCTAGCCGGAGCGTGTCTCATGGACATCCGTTCTACCACAAAAGCCATTTGAGACAGCAAATTTTGCGTGAAAATGTTCCTTATGTTGTGATGAATTGATTCGACGAGAAAATCCGAACTCCCGGAAGAGCCCTCCGAACTTTCTGAAATCGAAGTTGAAGCATGCTGTAGGGGCTTCGGTGAATTTCCATCAGATGGCGGCGATGGAAAAGGAATCCTCCATTCAGGTCGAGTCATGATCCCGACAACAGCTTCTAAATACACCGGCCGGTCAGTGCCCGATATAGATTGATTGTGCTTCCCATTAAGCATCTCCAACAATCCTATCCACCACTTGTTGAGGATATTAACTCGACGATCCAGGTCTTCCGGCCTCAATGACTTATAAGATGGATGAGAATGATTACGGTTGAGGAAAGGTAGAAGTGAAGAGCGGATGACGTTGGCTTTCAAAGCACTGGATTTGGATTGAAATCTGTGGTAGTTAGTCGCCTGGATTCGTGCGAGTTTCCGCTTGACCAGCATCCCACAGACACTCACTTTTGAAAATCGGCCTCGAGGCCACGAAAAACACCCCAGAGTTCATCCTTTTTACGCGTGAAGTCTATACCGGCAGACGCAACCGATGTCTTGGGCATTGGGGGGAGGACCGGAGTTGTCACATTGAGCGACGATGTAAGCTTTTCCAACGAGTTCTTAGCCGTTAGCGTGAAAGGCGATGGAGTATTACTATTGGGGGTCGTGGGACTATCCGCTTGGCTTTGTGTTACGACCGCTACCATCGGCCGCCGAGGCCGTTTGTTCAGGATTGTCCGCCTGCGCGTAGGAACAGCGGGATCGGATTCTGTTACTGTGTCCAGCGGAGTGAGACCCTTAGTCTGCGATGCTGGCGAGCTTGACGGGGATTGCTCCTCCGCACGCATTGTCCGCCCCCTCGAGCCCTTAGCGGGCGGGGAAGGGGATCTGCTAGGCGAGCTTGACTTCCATGGTTTGCGGGCGAGGTTGACCAATCTTCCGGACATAGAGCGGGCTTTAGAGGGCCGGGCCACAGGCTCTGGAGCCTTTGTCTCCGGGACTTTTGTCGTCTCTGGGGCTTTCGGGGGAGCTTCGGAGAGTTCCGCGCTAACAGGATCGGTCACATCTTCGGTCGAAACGCTGAATCGAGAGACGGTAATGGTCGATTTCTCCTTGTTCCGCAGTGAGGTTCGCCTTAGGATGTCTTTCCCCGCTGCAACATCCTCCTTGGACGGGGATGTGGAATCCTTTGGGTAGGTCAGGTCTGAGAATGTCCTCCGGAGAGTGGGCGAGGCAGATTCCGAGGCGACGAGATCGGGAAGGTGGTTATAACTGGCGGAATGGGGTAGCAAGACATGTTCACCATCTCGATGATTGCTTATTGTCTCGAGAGAAAGAGGAGACATGGTCAAAAGTAACCAATGGTGACTATAGGTCCAAGACAAGGGAGAGTGCTGGAGGGATGCACATCTCCCCCAACCGGGAGTGGATCGTAGTTGCTGTTAGCGAGGGAGACCAGCTCCTCCATATATTATAGACCCACGTCAAAGGGTATCAGAACATGTGCGAGAGGGTGCCCTTGAATTGCATCGAAATGGTGGTGTTCTCGCAACGGGAATCGCAGTGCAGTAAATGTCCTGTACAAGTCGGCGTGTAGGCAGACGTAGGGCAAGTGACGGCGTTCAACGAATGAGGCGCAAGTTCCGCAAAGGAGTTGAAGTTGACAATTTCACTCAAGATCCAGATTATAAAGTAGTAAGAGTTCCCAGTATATCCGACTAGGGTCCCTCGTTAGTCGAAATTGCAACGAATGGAGAAGAGCGCGGGCGGTTGATCGACGGAATTTCCGAAAGTAGAGTTGGAGAAGAGCGGAGAATTGATTATGGGCGTTGCGGTCTTTATTTGATGGTATGAAACGAATGGCAAAGTAGGAAGGTCTAACCACGCTTATTGGCTCGTCTCTTCTTTTCTTTATATTTTGATTGAAAAAGGTAAACGAAGAAGAGAGAGAAAGAGAAAGAAAGGGAGGCAAACAAATCGACGGGGAGCGGAGCAGAAGGGAGCCGCAGGGAAAGATTTAATGGGGAATTTTTGGAATACTAATGGAACCATTTAATACTTACTGTCTAGTTTCAATGGTTTCCACCTCCCGTACCGTCGAAATCCAGGGTCCGAGTTTCGTGCGAATATGAGGTAATGGCGGGCAACAATTTAACTATCTCTGTACACAGGGAGACAAGAAGGGAGAACCAATTCAAACCCACCTTCTTTTCTGTCCCTAAAACCTCTTCCATTCGTCAATCTCTCTCTTTCTTCTGGATTCTGTTATTTATATATTTGAGTTTTTATTTTTTTTAAGTTATTGTTGTCCGTCATACATACATGTCCGAGTACGTATGCATCCACGTAGGGATGTACAGAAACGTACCGACAGGTATCGTTCCAAACAGCTCGTCTCTCATACTTCTTCCAGGTTGGGTATTTTTTAGTATTCGGAATCTGAGCGACCCGACCCACGGTTTCACTTAAAACCAAATCAAATCTTATTGACTTAATCTCGTTTTCAATCTGGCAGTGCCCTTTTTTCATTTTTTTTAACCTTTTTTGCCCTGGTTTTTTTTTTTCGTTTTCCTTTTTTCGTTTTTACTTTTGGCCTTTGTCTTTTGTTCTTTGACTCTCGGCTTAATTTTCCATCATGATCGTGTTTAGTCGTGCCATGGGTGGTCTAAGCCCCATCTGCAAGGCTGGAGGTAAATCATTGAATAGTACATCTTACTATCTCTATATATAAATACCACCAACAGATCAAAATAAAAAAAAACACAATTATGAGTGGATGAGTGGAATCTGGCCCTCATGGAAATATCTGAGAAACAATACAGTGGTGAAATCAATGAATTATTGACAAGTTTCTTTAAATCCACTGCAGATGGCCTGAGCACCTGGAGGTATGTTGGTAGTGCTGCTAGGTAGGTATTGTACTGTACTGTACCTGAGGTATCTTACTGAATCGTGGGATTTGACATATCCCATTCATTTGGACTTACATGCACGACCAGCGAAGACTTGCAGATAACAATTGCGTTAGTCCGTCAGCCTTCTCTTGGGATTTCACGAGTAAGCGACTCTTCTATGGAAAGGGCCATGAAATCGGTTGAGAACAGCCTCTTTCCGGTATATGTATGTACTGGAAATATTAAAGACCCCTTTTTCTAGAATTAGCAGGGTGGGAATCCCACTTAGCATCATTGTTATACACAAGGTAAACAAAAAAAAGGGGGGGGGGAGGAGAATTTGAAGGAACAACCCCATTATTTCATTTAATAAGAGTATTATGGTAATGGACACCGTCTTTGCCTTGCAGAGTGTCAGCTTCTGTCGTTTCAATTTCGGCCTTCTGATCTATCATTCTTGTAGGTACATGACTGTACATACATGCAGGTATACAATGAGCAGATGTACACTTAGACAAAACAGCAGGTTAGGTGCACTTTGTTACCACAAATCTACTCATGTATAGCTGCCAAATCTTAAACCGGGCCACTAAAGTCAATGAAGAAAGAACTATTGAAGGATAAAAAGATTATGAATAGTCTAGTGGCAAATCACTTGGGATACTTCCTGGAATGTTGTACAACTAATCACAGTTGTGCAACCTTCGGATGTCTCCCAGACGAGGGTCATTCTTTATGTCATTGTCCGACCAACAGCATATGGGAATCTGACGATCTCTCGGCAGCGCCGTAATCCTTTACTCCGGAAATCTTTTTCTCGGACCCCGTAGATAGTCGAAGGACAGGGAAGTGTGGCCTCGATATTAACTAGTCCCACTTTCGATTGATCGACTATGCAGTGTGCACACAATCTTAGCCCATCTATTTGAAGGATAGACTACCGAGCCACCGTTCTCGTGTTCTGGGCTGTGGTTATCGGTACATCTGTCCAGCGGGTTGATTCCGACACTTAAAAGACGCACGAAGAAGGCTGGGGAAGTGCTATGGATCGTCTGGCGGTCTGACGTGATGCGATCTGGAGCTGTCATATCTCCTTCCTCCATCCAGGTGGGAAGTGTCCCTAACGCAAGACGCTCTGCATTCAACAAACTGTAAGTTTGTAACTCAAGGGCGATATCTTGTTTTTCTTTCCGATCATCGGACACGTTATCGATCGTTGTTTCCACGGTGTGCTCGGCTGAGTCTCCTGTATGATCTAGGTAAATCTTATATATAGAATTGATGGGCGAGAAGCTCGAGGTATGACCAAGCCATCATTCACAGCCATGTACTATACTGTCAGGTATTACCCTCCATGGCTGGGTGAGCGTTCACGAGTTGCACAATTAAATCACCATTGCATGTATCGGCATCTACCTGATTCATATCCTGTTTGAAATCGCTATTGCGTGTTCAACACATCAATTCGCAATGCATTATCGGTAAAACTTTTGACGTTGCAGTTGGAAACCTGCAAGTAACAATACCCCGGTCACACGGTCGGCCTAGTATCCTGAGGCCAACATTTACACCAGTTCATCTCGTTTCAATCAAAGTTAGAAAAGGGTTACAAAACACATGGAACATTGAATAAGATGATAATATTAAATGCGGAAAGTAGGACAATGCCAGTTGATTAAGAAAAGGAAATATTCATATGCTCCAAGTAGGTTTAATTTACAAAGTTCCTCAGGACTTAACAACAGGAAGCATATTCTGTTCTCATCCCATTGCCCTTAGGCCCCGATTTTCCCAGACCTTGTCATAGAAACAATAAACCTAGTGGGCAGCGGGAGCCTCCTCCTCATCCTCCTCGAACCAGCTCTCCTCGGCGGGAGCAGCCTCACCAGAGGCAGCCTGGCCCTCAACCTCAACTTCCTGGGTCTCGTAGGACTTCAATTCATTGGCGAGGTTGGCCTCCTCGGGAGACTTGGGGGTAGCGGGAACGCTGAACTTCTGGACGTGAGCTTCGGCGTCACCAGGCTTAATGGGAGTGGGCTTGAAAGCACGGAGTTCACGGAGGTAGAGATCCTGAACGGGGTCGGCTGTTACAGTGTTAGATTTTGACCTGTGGGAGACGGCGATACCATCTCGCCAGTCGTTGCACCGAGTCGAACTGGCCAGTCAAAGGAAGGGGTCACATACCCTGACGAACAGCGGAGGTCAGGAAAGTGCGGCGAGAAGCCGAAGAAACCTGTTGCCGAGAGACGCGGGCGAGGAGAGAGCGCTAAGGAAGGGTCAACAACCTCCACTTGGGAGAAAAGTGAGTGACCATAAAGGGCGTCAGCATGGACTTACAGACGCTCTGAGGGACTGGGACATCATCGCGGCGGGGAGGTGGTAAATGAGGGGAACCTGGGGTGGTTTGCGAAGACAGGTGATGGCTTTCGTCCGTGAATCCGATGTTGGAAGTTCGACGTTTCTTCGGGAGACATCGGCTTGGCAGCTGACTCAGCTATGCGGCTCTTCCCAGCATCGAATGCCGGCATCTTTTAGTCAGATACTCGTTTTGCCTCTTTCTCACTCTTTCCTTCCTCTTTTCAACCCCTCACGAAAGTCGCATCTCCGTCTTTCGCTTCACACGGCTCTCTCCCCCTAGGAGCTCGGTACTCGACGTTGCTCTGCTCGTCTCGATCGAACGATCTCACTTGCAGCGGCTACCTGTCAGGTTCCACGACCCTCTTTCGTGAGACATCTCTCACGGAGACCTTGACTGGTTTATCGCGGTCGGACAAGCCTGGCTTCGAGGCTTTGAGGATTCTAGGACGCCAAAGCAGAAGGTCTTTCTACTCGCTTCCACCCGCGAAAGTTCTTTACTCTGGGGCCAGTTGTAGAATAAGGAGTGGAGGGCTCCCTGGAAAGGTATAGCATTGAACTGAGAATCTGGTCCCTTTGAGATTTAGGAGAGATGGCTGTGGATTTTCAACAACATGTCCTAAATTTCATTTGGGGGCCTTCAAGCTAACGTGGTTACGAAGGCAGTGACGCAGAAACGTGGCTTGCATTCTAGTCAGCGATTTGCGCCCCTGTGATTCTCTCATTTTCTGGTACATCCGAAGACGAGTGTTGCCTTGATTGTACTTTTGTCGGAATACAGCCGTCAACCTGTATTCACCACTCTTCGTTCGCTTTTGTGCTCGCAAACATAATCTCCCTATCTCTGCCAAAAGGTTAGCGAAACGTCGACGAGAACGTATCGAGTCCGCTATACAGTCTCGCAAAATGGCCACCGCTCCACCCCAAGCCAGACCTGAACCTGGTCAGTGGAAAAAGAACCTTTCGCATCATCTCATCTGTCCCGAGTGCAAGGAGGTCCCGCCCAATTTGGAGTTCCCCGGGTCGCATGAAACGGTATGCGGGTCTTGCGGTTTAGTGCTCGCTGATCGGGAAATTGACATGCATTCTGAATGGCGTACTTTCTCCAACGACGATCAGAACAATGATGATCCATCTCGTGTCGGAGACGCTTCAAACCCCCTACTTAACGGGGACCAACTGGAGACCCAAATCGCAAGCGGAGGCTCTGGCCGTGTTCGTGACCTGTATCGTGCTCAGAACAAGCAGTCGAGCGAGAAGGCGAACAAGTCTCTTCTGGCTGCGTACAAAGAGATCGGTGCTTTGTGCGATGGATTTAGCATTCAGAAGAATGTCGCTGATACCGCCAAGTATCTTTTCAAGATCGTCGATGATGCGAAGGCCTTCAAAGGGAAGTCCCAAGATGTGATCATTGCGGGTTGTATTTTTATCGCTTGCCGTCAATGCAAGGTACCCCGTACCTTCACCGAAATTTTCGCGGTCACGAAAGTGTCGAGGAAGGAAATTGGCCGAATCTACAAGGCGCTGGAGAAGTTTTTCACGGCCCAGAACCTGGAAAGGAACAACGCCGTGGTATCAAACGGTGGTGTCCCAGATCCCAACGACACATACACCGCAACAACTTCCACCAAACCCAGCGACCTGTGCAACCGTTTCTGCAATCTGTTGGATTTGCCCTTCCAAGTCACCAGTGTATCCTCTGCACTTTCTGACCGTGTCACAACCATGGGAGACCTGGCCGGCCGGTCTCCTCTGTCCATTGTTGCAGCTTGTATCTACATGGCCTCGTATCTGATGGGGCACGGCAAAACTGCCAAAGAAATCAGTCAGGTCGCTCATGTCAGCGACGGAACTATCCGCGGTGCCTACAAGCAGCTCTACGCGGAGAGAGAGCGCTTGATTGACCCGGAATGGATCAAGGACGGAAAGGGCGATTTGAAGAACCTACCCGCCAGTTAAATTGACCTTTTAAACTCTCCCCACATAGCGCTTGGGAGTGAAAATTTACTTCCTATTAGATGATTCCAAAGCCCCTAACAATACCATGATACCCAATCAAACAAAGAATTCAATATAAAAATGGGAGGCAGAATGAAAAGAGACCAATCCCGTCGTCCTCACTGCCCACCCTAATTGTTCTGCTATTCTGATATGATTGGACACGTTCATACATCGTGATGTTTTCCTTAATTCAAGTTGCAACTCCTAGTAGTATCAAAATTGCAAAACCGCGTTTGCCTGGTTTGCGTTAGGTATGTTAATTACCCTTCCAGTCCTCCCCCCCCCCTTCCTTCTCGGTGATTCTTTCTATCTTCTTCATATTCTGCTCAGCACTTTTGATATTGATGTCAGATGAGAGTACCCTTATATATAGCTTTTGTTTCTAGGCCAGGAAGAACACAAATGGAATAATTGATCGGGAAACTTGTGCATTGGATACTCAATAAGTCATATCGTAGCTGTATGTGTGTCACTACTACTATTATTAGTACGGTGGCATAGATTGCCAAAGAGAACTGCACTCGTTACCCGGGGCAGGATTCAGGATTACGTCCAATGAAGGACATGAAAGATTCTCGGTCAGTAAATTCTATGACTGCTACACCGTGACAGGCGGTAGTATGTCTTTTACTGGCTGGTAAAAAAAAGATGAAACAGGTAAACAACAAATACAACGCAAAACGACTACGCTTCAAGAACTTTCCTTAGTTACCCTCCGAGGGCCGTTTTCCATCGGCTGTCGCAGCCGCAACTTCAGCAACATCCTCTAATCCTGATTCGGCCGATAAAGTGCTCTGCGGTTTATCGACATCAGTTTCGGTAGATACCGCTTCAGAGGAAGCTTCTGGCTCATCTCGCTTGGCTGCAGGTACCACGATAGGACCCTCATCATCGAGGGCGCTCGTTACTGTGTGGGCTGCTTCTGTGAATGTCGGTGGCTGGGGTTTAGCTGGGGTTGACTCGCTCGATGATACCGGGTCCTCTATGGGAGATGTTGGTTGAGGATCAGCCGACTCACCGGCAGTGTTCTTCGCTATCGGGGGGGCCATGGCGTTGTCTTCTGACGTTGTCGTGTCCGGGGCAGCCGACTCGCTGGCAGTGTTCTTGGCTATCGGGAGAGCCATGGTGGTGTCTTCTGACGTTGTTGTGTCCGGAGCAACGACTTCGTTCTTATTCACCTGTTTTTCACTGCCAACAACCAAATTACCAGCCTCATTAACCTCCCAAACATTCCAGGTTTCAGTGATCCTGACTTCTGAGATCGTCGGCAACTTTGCAGCCACATTTTCGGCGGCCGGTCTCCTCCGTGCGGGCCCACGGGCCCTTCCCTTGCGAGCATCACTTAGAGGAGCTTTTTCTGCCGGGGGCTCCTCTGCTTTCTTCTCTTGTGGCTTCGGTGGCACTTGAGGGCCCAACTGCAAGCGGGAATTTAGATCTGACAAGAACCCTGCCTTCAAAGCAGCGATCTTACTGCCTCCCGGACGGGCCGGTACTGCTGGCTTCGGCTTGGCCGCAGCATCTTTAGACTCTCCGCCATTTCCAGGGAACACGGGCTTAGCTGGCCGGGTCGGGACTTGGGGCTTGGGACGGTCAGGAATTGAAGGTGGTTGGCGTTTTTCAATAGGCGAGGTGACTGGCTTTGTAGAAGCATCCACTGGGGGGGCCTGTTGAGGACGCTTCTGGGGTCGAACGGGTATGCTAGGTTTCGTCGGCACATCTGGGCTCTTGACCTCTCCCTCTTCTGCCGGCTCTACTGTGGTTACCAGCTTTTGGCTTTCGGGGGCATCTTCCCAGATGTCCCTGCTGGGAAAGCGCTGCTTGGCAATGTCTGGGCGTGAAACAGGCTTCTCGTCGAGACGTTCTTCTGATTGTAGAATCTGTGATGCAACTTTGTGTGGATCAACGCGGGTAGCCTGGCTTCTACGGAAGGACTCCTGCTCCGGAGTCTCAAAGTTTTCGTTCTTAGGAACATCCGGTGTAGATACCGTAGCGTGCAATTGCAAGCTATTCGGCGAATCCTCCCAAATGTCTTGGCTAGGGAACCGGTGCTTGAGCAAATCTGGCCGCTTTTTAAAGCGGTCGGCGGTCGAAAGAGGTTTTTTCTCTGCATCATCATCCTCCGGGAACAGAGGCTCATATTCCTCAACATCATCAAGTGGGGTATGCGTCTCTTCCCGTTCGTCGCGCGAATTGTACCTTGCCAGAGTTGGCAAACTGTTGCGGTGGCTCGCAGTTCTGCTGTCCGAGCGGCTATGGGTGACACTTGGGGTGTGACTCCTGTCGACCTCCACACTTTCCCTTCTGTCGAATGTGGGGGATACGGCGGGATGCTGGAAAGCAGATTCTGGGCGCACCTCATCAGCAGCCAGAATAGGCTCATCTTCATCTCCATCACCCTCCCTAACTTTTCCAGAGAGTTCTTCGGGACCTGGAGTTTGAGCGAAGCCATCAGGATGGTGTAGATGATGATATGGTTCGTCAACGTGTATCACCCCTGGTTCTTCTGACTTGTGAGCGGTATCTTCAGAGGTCGCAGTTTGTTGCTGGCCCTCAGTCTCGACGGAAGGCACGCTCTCTTTGCGCAAAGGTGACTCAGCGACAAGGCGGGAACCACGGCGCGATCCAGGCGGCGGTGATGATAGACGGTGAGTGTATTCGTCAGCGGCAATGTAACCAACCTCCTCTTCTGGGGTTCCGATTACAGCAGGTGACGTGCCTAAGTTTATTCATCGATTAGCTGCATGGTCAATTTTCAAGTGCCATTTAAGCGACTCACCAAGTCCACTCCCGGTCACAGCAGAGCCCCGTACAATCTTGTTCAGATCATCACTACTCAATGCCCAGTCTGGTCGTGGCGATCCAACTCCGGGGCCATATTGACCCTGCTCTTCCTTGACATATTCGTCGGGGTGCTTTTCATACCAGGCCTTCTCGAATTTGTCATTGGGCTGCACGCCATGTCCGTGAAGACCATAGCTTCCTGGTGGCAGGGAAGCTTCACGACCACTCCGAGTTCGGTTATGGCTGCGGCCCGAGCGCTGGCCCGAATTCTGTTCCAGATGGTATGGACTTGGAGAAGGGGCTTGTACATCGCCCGCATTAGGGTACATTGGAACCCTAATCCCATGCTCATCGCCGTTCATAGATAGTCGTCGATCAATGGAAGTCGAAGAGTCCGCACGCGAGTAACTTGTTCGAGACTGTAACGAGCGAGTGGGTCGTTCATGGTGGTCATCAGGAGTGGGGGATGATGTCCCACCAAGACCTGCTGCTGCAGCCTGACGAGAATCTGTACGTGTGACGGCCTGCACCTTGGCCTTGGCGCTGGAAGAGGGTAGTGAAGGCCTCGGCGCATGGAGCTTCAGATCGCTGCCCACGTTGCGCATCTCTGCGGGAGTCGAATGGTGGCCCTCGGAGACATCAGCTATGTTCAAAGCTTCGTATTCATTACCCTCTTCGCCAAGGGAAGGTATCGTCACACTCGGAGGTCGCTGCGGCACATCTTGGGAAATGGTGCGAGTCAAGCTCGAGCCATTGGGTGGCTCATTCAAGGGAGACGGAGCGTAGCTATCTCGAAGAGGAGATACGGAGCGGTCAAAACGACGAGTGGGACGTGGTGGGATCTTGGGCACGTCTGCGGGTGCAAGACCCTGCTGGTTAGGCGACCTTGACGGTCGAGGGGGGATGGCGGGTGCAGGTTGTGTTGTCATGACGGATGGAACCTAGCAATTCGATTAGGTGTAGACTAGAAGACGCACTGTTGATGATGTTAGCCTCCTTCGGTGTCAGGTTGAGAACGCTCCTCAGTCACATGGGCAAGTTCAGGGGGTAAGAGAGGGGCAGTTCGGCGCAAGTGAAGCTACAGCTAGCACGATAGCCTGGGCTGTACACAAAGTCGGGGCCAGTTGAAGTGGGAAGAGAAGAAATCCTGTCCCGAGCCCCTGTTTCTCCAACTTGGCAGGATTTGTACTGGGAGGGATCCTATTGGAAGGAGAAGATATGTTCGGAGCACCAGTCGTAATCTGAGACAGTAGTAGATAAGATCGGTGTATGCAAAGCTGATAGCAATCTTGGCCACGCCGCCCAAAGGTATTGAAGACGGTCTTGCACTCCTTTGTGGATTCTGACAAGGAAAAATGGAATAATGTGCTGCATTAAAGAAAAAGAAAAGGGGGAAATCAAACAAAGGGAGATGAGCGAGATTACTCACCAATGTTGCGATAACAAGAAGCAAGCACGAGTGGATTGTAGAGCTATCTGAATATAAACGGACGACGAGGTGGAAGCAATTGAGTGGTCAAACAGGGTTGAAGCTTTTCCAGTAAGGAAAGCCTGTAAGGAATAAAGGTCAAGGACGAGTATGCACAACAAAAAGTCACGATGAATGGAGAAGAATGGAGAAAAAAGCAGTGCCAAAGGTTCTAAAGACGCAGCAGGAGCAGAGATGATGTATGACTACCAGTCACCTTGCCGCAAAGTGGCCGTAAACTCAGTCTAACCACTTTCTTTCCTGCCACGGCCCACCGCCCCATCGCGTGACGCTCTCTGACGCTATCAGACTGCTCCCTAAATGGTACGGAAACCGTATGGTAACCGTCCATGAGCTGTGAGCCAACGAGCGTCAATCGTTGCAATTACAGACTCAGCTTGCTTCCTCGTGGGGTTTAGTTGGTCCCGCTTGAAGTTCTTTTTTTCAGGTTGATTGAAGGGTTTTTTCAGTTCACTGACGTTGTATTTTTATTTATTTATTTTATTTTTTTGAGGCTGGATCCCCTTTTCCGTTAAGTTATTTGTCCTGGGCTTTTATCCTATTCACAGAGTAGATCGAGGTACCATCGAAGTATCGACACTAGATAAAGATAGGCGTGATCTGCCGTACTCAGTATATCTTCTATAGAACGGCCTTACCAGTGAATAAATAAAACAAGTAACATTCAGTGACACCTCTAATGGGTCCGATTATTCCTGGATTATCTGCCAATGAGAGCTGAAGCTCCTGAGGGAAAGGGAGATGAAGGATGCATGTCTGCAGCTGCCACGATAGATTTTTTTTTTTCCTTCGTTGAGGCATTTTTTGGCTCTGATATGCATTGTTCCACCTTCTATATGCAAGTATGTATTTAGGTAGCAAGTTAAATAGGCCATCATTTCAAAATTTAGTGTTTTCGATGGCTACAGTTACATGTGCATCCATGAATTAGGAACTCCCGTGGAAGGTTTAAAATCACTCATATTAAAGGTGATGTGGAGGATCCATGTTTTGACGGTACCAGAAAAGAACGATCTCTTCCATCAGCACCCGGTTATTACTTTTTTAAATTCATTGTAAAAAATCCCTCTGCGTTTAGAACAACAACAGTTGTCTTGGGCCAGACCATGGATCCACATCTAAGGTATTAATAGCCACCGCCACGACCCTGAGATATGATCATTGATACAGACCCGGTAATAGTCCACCTTATCTCTGTACGGAGCAGTAGCTTCAATTTGATTGAAATCCCCTTGCTGAGAGTGGTCGCAGTGCCCCTCGTGTGGCTGTGCGGAGCGTCCGCACAAGGTCTTATTTACAGGTCTTGATCGACTCCACGTACAGGACCATACAAGGATGTATACTTATATTAGTAGTACCCAATACTACCTACAGACATGTACTCAGGAGACTGACTCGCGAGTTTTGACATTTGAAAAACGCAGTGAAGAGAAGAAAAGCATGCCATTGGAGACGAGTAGCTATCATCCGAAATATATGTAGGGATGTGTGTACAGTCAACTCCAGACTACAAACTCAAAGAGATGGCTTCCGTACATATTGATGGTATCAGCCTGACTGACCGAGGCGGTGAGAGGGTCTCGACTCCGCAGTACCATTTAGGATTTACATCATGAACTAGGCTCAACTGCGATATCATATCATCTCAACCTTCTGATAGCATTCCCAGTAAAATCGTTTTCACCTACCTGGGGTAGAACCAAAAGCCCCAAGTGCAGCAGGACATACATGCTGAACTATCATTGTTAGTTATGACCCTGCCTGTGACTCTGTACAGAGTACCTTAACCCAAAGAGCATCGATACCGGGATCTCAGACCCCAACCAAATCCACTATTCAGAGTTTCGTTCCTCATTTGGTAGTCCTATTGCACATTCAGAAAAGAGTTTAGTTTTTTTCACCGGGTCCACTGTGGGGATACCTCCGTTGCACTTGCGGGTCCACACTCAATAACTGCCAGTTTTCAGCCTTAACCTGGTCTCGTCATCCTGACCATATCTACCGTCTTATCTACTGTAATCTGTTGGGGCTTTCTCGGCCACGATAACCGCCACAAGTGGGACTTGGTGCAGCAAGTATCAAAGGAGTACGGCACTCAGGCGTGGTTGATGAGGTGTCCTGGTATATTGTGCGGCAACCAGATTGTACTTGTAGCAGCTGCAGTATTCACTTCCGTTAATTATTCTCTTGTGGCTTAATCGGTTCTAACTTAGACCGGCAGACCGGACTTTCTTCAAATATACCATATTCGTATTCAGTCTTGAGGGCTGTATAGCTGAGTATAAATACCTACAATGTATATATGGATACATAGGTATAACTGTAGATAGAATCCAGCCTCGCAACCTATAATATTACCAGGATAAATACCATATAGCCCAGGAATTCTAGACCCTAGCGACGCATCAACATGGACACGCAATACGCCAGACGACCATATCAGATTGCAGTATTTCGATGGGAAAAGTCCAATCAGATCTTTAGCTGTTGACGGAACCCTTCGGGAACCTGCTCAACAGGAACAATCATCTGCTTCTACAGTAACAACAGTCTACCTCAAACAATCTATATCTTTACTGCGAGACAAAAGTCGATCTTCCTACCCTCCTTTCCTGACCACCAGCCTTGGAAGCCTCCTCCGCGTCAGCATCCATCTATATGAGTATGGCTTTTGGTTCTATTTTCACATGACCTTTTCTTTATTACCGGCAACATTGTCTACCAGATGCTATATTTGAACCAGGATACCCAGACTCGGCCCACTTGTAACGGCAGCCTGTTTACGCATTACCTAGTGGTACTAGTGATGCATGTCCTCTCTAGTACGGAGTACTACTATCAGTGATACCTGAGCTGCCCTGACGTGGGGTAACGAAGTCTGACCCCTCCAGGAGGGGTAACAGCCATGACGTAGGGGCGCATATTGAAGACTCTCTGATATGTAGGTAGTAGTACTAGTATTGTTCAGGCTGCCACAATAATACTTAGTGTTACTGCTAGTACTACTATTCACGCATGATGCATAGACCAACAACTAATGATTCAACGAATAATGGGATTCGGCCCGAGGACACTCATCAGCGATCCGAGAAACCAAGGCAGTCGGTACGACGTGCAAGTACCGTCTCCAGAGTTCCTAGTAATTGTGGGATAGATTTGCTTCTTTGGGGTTGCCGCTGCACGAGCCCAGATCACATGGCAGGTCACAAACCAAGTGTTGGCAGGGATGTTGAACACCGAACACATGCAGCAGAGAACCACTTTCAATGGTTGATCCCTGTTCTATTGAACTTATGTAGGTTAGCACACCTACTATGTACTAGTCTGTCCTTCTACATATTGTATGCCTGTCAGTGACACATTGTTAGCAGGTATTGTAGACTCGTACAATATATGTATAAGTTTTTTTTTTGTTCTTTTGATGCAATCACCTTCAATTTCCCTGTGATGCTATTTTTTTTTTTTTTTTTTTTTTTTTTTTTTTTTTTATTTTTTTTTTTTTTTTTTTTTTTTTTGGTATAGCGGTAGAACCACGCCAAGTAGCTTTCACCCTTCAAATCAATTCATTCATCACCAGGATGCTAAAAGGGTATTCTCGCTAGGTATATTGGTAAGGATACAGGGCTCGTCTAAAGCTTGGTGTAAGGCAGACTGTTCAGTAGACATAATAGAGACAAAGGCAAAACAAAAAAAGAAACAGAAAAAAACACGACCAGCACAAATCACCACAGGAGGAAGATAATTGGGCCAACCTCTTCCAAAACTCTCACTCGAGGCTTGAATCTCATGAAACCCGAGGGTGAATCTTTTTTTTTTTTTATCTTTTCCTTTTGTACCCAAACCAACTCGACATAATGATAATAGTACAAAATACCTGTTAGTAGCGTCGTCGAGGACGATATCAATTCGTGATCATGGCGCATTCAACACAGACATATCCCTCATACTCTCTCGCGTCTCCCATTTTGATTGTTCTTCTCTTCGGCCTGCTTTGATTTACTTGTAAAGCATTGTCGTCAGCACCACAAGCATTGCTTGTCGGCATGAGGAGCCAAGCATACCTCAAGCCATAGTCCACAATCTTCCATGCTGACTTCTCTTAGACAATCATTTGCGCAAGCCCTTGGCCACCCAAGGTCTTACTTCCAACAAACTCCTGGCTCTTCAAGCCTGCCAGGGCATAGAAGAGAGCGGCGAGAAGGAGGAGAACGGCTGCAGCGATCAAACTCGACGCACCGGAGACAAGGCTGACCCATTGCAAAGCACTCATGACTGTGTACATGGCAGCTCGCATCCAGTTAGTGGTGAAACGTCGAATAAAGGTGTCGAACTTTTCGGAGGTAGGGCAAATTCTGAGTAGAAACGGAACCTCGATGAAAACGAGGATGAATCCCGAAACGCTGCGCATGTGAGCTTCTTTCACTTTTGAGTTCTATGATGATGAATCTTACAGGCATAGGATGCTGAAGACGATGCGAACGGCGTTAAACGAAAAAATGTTGGCAATGCCGAGGGCGATGCACAGGACAATGCATACAACACCCGTCCTGGTCCGAAACAAGTCAGCATTTATTTCGTAGCAAGCCTGATCTGATCTTTGTCGAATTATGCTAATGACGCCGTGGGGAACGATTCGTTGTCACTTCCAGTCTCCCGTTGTCGCGGCTCAAACAGGCGCCAAGCACATCCGTTGGAAGGGCCAGGCAGCCATTGTTTCCTCAGTTTGCGGATTTCGAAGGGAGTGAAGTCAACTGAAGGACAGTAGGGCACGGAATGAGAGGTGAAAAAAGGTTACAAACCATTGTCCGTAGATACCTAAATACGTAGTAGTGGTTAGCTATCTTTTCCGTTCCTTGCGATCGACAAGAAGTAAACACTGAAGGTCCATACTGAAGTTTCTCGAGCGGAATTCCTCAGCGAACGTCATGATGAAAGATGCAGATCGAGAATAGAGTGTGCAGATAGCTCTAAAAGCTGGTAGAAGTCACTTTAGGTTGGAAGGATCGTTGATTGTCCGGTGTTAGGGTTGTAGAAACTCGTGGTCGCTGGAGTGTAAGCTGTGGCTAGTGGAGAGTTACTAGACATGTACTATGGGCCAGCTTGCCAGATCAGGCCGATCACTTCACCGCCTATGGCAGAATTCAGGCACCATATGTATCGATTTGCCCGTTATCACCGATAACTACTACTAGCAATGAAAGCTCCCCAATGAGGTATTAGTTGGGACTGTAACCAACACTCTCAGGACCGAGTCGATCAAATAGGTCCTTGTACTAGCTGCACTTCATCTTGGTTACTAGGATCTGAACACAGTGCAAACATGGATCCTACTAGTCCCAAGCACAACCGCAATATTTCCAGGTGTAAGAACAATCAATAGACGCAGCATCAAGATTGTCGACTGACGTTTCCAGCAGCACGGCCCCGTAGCTCTACCAAAGGCCCACTAGATGATCCGAATGAGTAAGCTATAACAGGACACTCAGCAGAAAATCATGCTGACCCCAACCAGTCCACTGAATGCAGAGGTTGCACTTCAGCCCCAGAATACAGCAGACGCTGGCGGCTACACTGGGGCTTCATTCACTGAATTAGATCCATTAGCACCGGATGATTTACCACAAACTTTGGAGAAAGATCTTTCGTTCCTTCTCCGATACGATATTTATCATTCCCTCTCTCAGGTTGACATTCCGCATACTTTGCGGTCTGAGTTCATTGGCCTCACATCCGAAGAGTCCCTGTCTTCATGCCTCAGCACTCTTGAGAGGCTGCTGGCTGAAGGGCACTTCCTGCTTGCAGCCTATCTTTCGGGAACGATCTTGACCTCCTCTTTGATTTCGTCCAGTGATATAAGGATGATTTTCTCGCTTTTCTACACACGATTAGCATGTCTGGAACTATCTGGAAATACTATCATTGCAGCACAAGAATCAAAAGCGCTAGAGGACCTGAGCTCCACTTTCTATTATGTGGACCAGGCTCCCGCGACGTCCGATGTAGAAAACGAAGAGAGCCACACAAATTACCCTCGTCATATTGTGCCGTGGCCGCTACGTGTTCTCGCTGTCAGACTCCAGAGCATTGGGTTTGGTGATTCACGCAGGGGCATTGGTGGTCTATATGAGATTGGACTAGAAGCGCGGAGAGAGATCATGCGGCCAGACCTGAGTTCGGCGGAACGAAGTATATGGAAGGAGAGACTCGCCGACCTTGGAATTCGAAGTGTAAATGCATTGATTGAAATGGGTGATCTCAGTACTGCCAGAAGGTCTCTGCACAATCTGCAAACATCAGGGTCGGATGAAACCAACAAGCTAAGAAAGGCGCTCCTTTTCCTTCTGATTGGCGATATCGATGCAGCGAAGCAACTTTCCGGTGAATCAGACGAAGCAGGAATTTCCATATCTAAGCCACTTCTGAGCATGGCTGAGGGCCGCTACGATGATGCAGTGGCAGAATGGCAAGCTCTTTTAGACGGTGGTTCCCAAGGGGCCGATACAGCCATAATATCCCAAAACATGGCAGTATGTCTACTGTACACAGGGCGGTTAAATAAGGTACTCTTGGCCTTTACTTACTGGTGCATTGGAAACTGGCTAATAACAGTTACAGGCCCGTCAAATCCTGGAGTCATTGGTGCATGGAGGACAATCTTTTGGCGGTCTTATCTTTAACCTGTCAACAGTCTACGAGCTCTGTTCAGACAAGTCCGGGCAGTTGAAGGCCGGACTTGTAGACCTTATTGCCAAGGAACCTGCCACAGGACACACCAACTTGGATCGACCCAATGCAGATTTCAAACTGTGAAGCGTAGGGAGCATATATCGGCGAAGATTCACAGGGCAGAATGGCACTTTACCGGATCAGTACGCTATGGTTGATCTAATATATTAACGTTCATCTATTTTTTTCTATCAGCATTGAAAACCAGACGCCATGTGCTCCAGCCTGAACGCAGTATAACGATATGACACGAGAATTAAAGACATAAAGCTTCGTTATAGACAGTCGTTACGCATTTCCCTTACTTGATGCAAGAACTGATTGAGGCTTCGGTTTCGGCTTTCGGATGATAATCTTGTCACCCTCTTTCTGCCAGCCAAGTTTCTCTGTCTCTACCAGCTTATCCCACGTCCAGCGGTTATCTCCTGTGCAGCCTTCTGTGATCCACTGCACTCCGACATTGAGGTAGGCGCTACCAACAGCCTTGAGTGCATGTCTCCGAACTCGATCTTCAGCCCAGTTCATTAACACGCGAACGGAGGAATCCACTTCTTTTCGGACCTGCCAGAATACGACCCAGTTATCATGCGCTAAGGCTGTTAAAACACGGTCAATTGCGGGCGACTGAAACGCATGTTCGCGGCGCGCTTTCGCGCGCAGCTCGAAAGCGGCGACCAAATCATCCTGTCGGCAGGCGTAATCAAGGATTAGATACGAAATGAGATCTTTCAACTCCGACTCGGGTAACGGGTGAGAAGGCGAGTGTAGTTTCTCGAGTAGGTAGCGGAGAGAGGGGAAATATGACGGAGGATGCTTGGCTTGAATGGATATTTTGACCGAGAAGACATGGACACGCTGGGAGAATGAGACTGGTATTGTGGACGCAGTGGCTAGAACCGCTTCACGAAGCTTACGGAGGGAAAGAAGAAGGGTGGACAGTTCGGTAGATGCGGAAAGACTATGGATCTTGGTCTGCTTTTCTTTCGACTGGGGAAGAGCCGCCGGGGGGTTCTTCGTGGCATCGCCGGACGCACTTGTGGGAAGAGATGACCACGCTGCATCTAAATCTTCCGAGTGGCGAGCACAAAACGCCATGTATCGTTCGACGATTTTGGAGAAATAGTCATTCTGGGCTTTATGGTCCAGCAATCTAGGAAAGTCAGTCCCCTACATGTGACGACCCCACCAGAATGGCATACTTGCGATCGCCTTTGGAAACGAATCCCACCGTTTCCAAGGAATCCACCGCCACGGGCTTCAATCGGCTCGCAGGCCTCTTCCCGCGTTGTGACATGGCTGGACTGTTTGGTATGCAGTGGGGAGTGAAATTGCGTCATGAAGCTATCGACATAAAGTTGATAAACACATGAAATGCGGGAAAGGCCGGCGGGTGTTTGCTCAGTTTGTCCCGTTCCCCCAACAGACGTTCTCATACTATCGGATCCATCGTGTTAGTCCATCCCAACGTTTGCTTCAACCACAACAACCTTGCTTTTGGCTGTGGGGATTTCTGTCTTTTTAAATAGCTAGGCGTGCCGTTTTTTTCTTCTGTTCTCTTATGTACCTGGTTTTAGTTCCACCTCGAGCTTAGTAATCTTTCCACTACCCTCTGATTCATCCGTCTTTTCTGCATCCTGCATGTGAATTATGCCGAGTCGCCAACGCCGCCCCACTGAGAAGGCTGAAGAGCCAAAAGCCAGTACACCTGCAGCAATGGCAGCTACAGTCATGGAGCAGCCGCCTCGGGTCCTCAAGAAACTTCTGCACTGGAACGACTTGCCTCATTGGCAACGCGACAACCATCACATCCATAGCGGATATCGACCAGCCTCGTTCTCGTTCCTGGTCTCTTTCCAATCGCTGACATACATACACAATGAGACGGTTAATATATATACGCATCTACTGCCATCGTTGCTGGCTGTCCCCGGGGCAATCTTGCTTCATCGCGTTCTAGCACCTCGTTGCGAGACGGCTACCCAGGCTGACATCATTAGCTTCGCCTGCTTCTTTGCGGGAGCTGCTGTGTGTCTGGGGATGTCTGCGACGTACCATACTATTTCGAACCACTCGCCGACTGTTGCGCGCATAGGAAATACCCTTGATTACGCTGGTATCGTAGCTCTGATTGTGGGCAGTTTCGTCCCTAGTGTATACTATGGGTTCTATTGTGAGCCTGGACTGCAACGACTATATTGGACAATGATCTGCAGCATTGGGATTGGCTGTGTGTTTGTTTCGATTATGCCCCAGTTTCGGACTCCCCGGTGGCGGCCATTCCGCGCCGCCATGTTTGTTGGCATGGGCCTATCAGCGGTGGTTCCCGTCATCCACGGGCTACGGATGTATGGGGTGGAACAGATGACGCGCCAGATAGGGCTCGGGTGGCTGCTACTTCAGGGATTCTTGTATATCCTGGGAGCTGGGATCTACGCCGCTCGGGTCCCCGAACGTCTGCGACCGGGCCAGTTCGATCTTTGGGGCAGTTCGCATCAGATCTTTCATGTGCTGGTGGTGTGTGCTGCTGTGGCTCATCTGACTGGGCTACTGAGGGCATTTGACTACAGACACAGTGGGATTGCCGAGAGCTGCTCCTGGCACTGACTGGGTGATCCGCCGAGGCAACCGCCGGATCACACGAGCAGCGACAGGTTACAGTTAACCATGTAGCAATAATCCAATCCGATGTAATTGACGCGATGTGATGTGATGCTGACTGCTGGCGTGCAAATACGAGATGTGTCTAACCCACCCCCTTGCTGACTACCACGGCAGCTTAGCTTCCCAGCACATGGGACGAGGGGGTTTGGGAGGAATAAAAATTGTCGAGGGCAGAATAAAAAGGGGGCGAGGAAGAGGTTGATTCTTGGACCAGACAAGAAGGTTCCCGCGAAAGTTGCATGTTCACCGCTCACTTCACCGGCCTTTTTAAGATGTGGACGGGCAAATAGACCTCCAGTTTTGGCTCGATTTACAGCTCACATGGTGTGTGCTGGCCTGCATACGCTGAGCACTTGCTCAACAGTAAATGCTTTTCACCATTGGGTGCTACGTCAGACAGGAGTGCTTCGCTCTCGCAAAGGCTGTTTCTGATGGATAAACTTATTTGGCCTCGATGGCCCCACAGTTTTTTCCCACAATGTCGCACCTGAGCTTGTTGCCAGACTCTGTGCTTGGAAGCCCAGAGCCAAGTGGCTACCGCTGACAGTCTCCTATAAGGATCCATTGGTGGTGGCCAAGCATCTGGCATTTGCCTTTTCGGATCCGTAAGATTTGGGGTCAGTTGGACCGCTGCGAGCGCCAGCCCTCAGAGTGGCCACGCTGGTTGGCATCTCCATGCCAGTGTGGATCAGATGAAGTCGCCAGGTTTCACAACGGCTGACTTCATATGCGGTTCCCGTCGGTTCAAAAATCCTGATACGAAACTGGGTTTCCAACCATTCTCCTGGGATATATAGCAGTGTTTAGGCGATATTTGTCTGATATTGTCGTGGTTACTATTGTTAATTTCGGTCAAATGATCCAGTGCTGAATATACTGGAGGTTTTAAATTGACAGCCATTGGTACAAAATCTTTATACTAATTGGGGCTGCCGGACTACAACTTCACTGTGAAGTCTCACCCACTCTCTCAGGTACTAAATGCTTGCGGGATCCGAAAACCCCCCGAGTAATGGTGGAGATGGCCCCAAGCTCCGGGCCGCTTGCGAGAATTGTCGACAATCCAAGGTCAAATGCAACCTAGGCGGAAAGAATACTTGCATCCGCTGTCTCCGGCATGGGTTGCCATGTCGGTACCGGGTTGCCAATCGGTCTGGTAAGCCGAAGGGCAGCAAAAACCGAGCTACATTGAGGAAACTAGGACAGCTTCAGGAAACGTCGGCAGTTCAAGTCTCCGGGAGGAGCTCGAAACGCAGGACTCTTCAAGCCACCGAGCCACCGCGTGCGGAACAGGAGTTGAATAGAAGTGATAGTGAGGTTCGTTTCTTTCCTCCTGCTATGGTTGTAGCATGGAGCTAAGTCGTGGTGAATCTAGACGCGAGAACCCAGTCAACAGCTCACAGACAGTCCTCTAAGTCAAACTAGTACAGCCAATACATGTCTGCTGCTAAGTGAGTCGCCGGCGGACTACGCGACTTCGTATAGGGATCCGCTACCCGATTCGACGCATGCGGCTTCCATGTCGCCCACGTTTCTCCAGAAAGAGTTTATCACAAAAGGATTAACGAGCTTCCCACTTGCCGTACATATCCCCAACGTCCTACAGCCCGTATGCGACTGTGGTGAGACGATAGAGTTCCATGCGAACACTCTACAACATATTGTGGCTGACCCAATCCATACGCGATTTGATCAGGGCCTGCAGGCTGTCAAGGAGGCGCTGTCGGTCTGTCGAAGGTTCCTGCAGTGCCACAGCTGCCACAAGGATAACACGCACGTGCTGATATCCGTAACGACACTGGGATTGGCACTACAGCTGTTCAATTACTGGATATCCTACCAATGCGCTGCGCACGTCTGCACGAGCAACGACGAAGTCGGGTACGGCGCGTATGAATTGGGGCCCGAGGAGACGCGACGAGTGCGCCGCGTGCTCATCCGAGGCCGACTCCAACAGTGTAAGGAGGTGGTGGCATCGCTCAAAGGAACAATCGAGCTGTCCAGCGCAGACCTAGAGGGGACCTGGCTGCAGCAGGTCATCCGCGGATACGAAGGAACGGTGGAAGCCTATCTGCAACCGATGGGCTGCGTTTGCATTTAAACACATGAACAACACTGTAATTATTTATTTCTCAGGATACCAATTAATGCACTCTGATATTTTTTTATTCCTTCCCATCCTCGATCTATGTATGTCCATACATACATACATACAAAGAAGGCATGTCGGCACTCGGCTGCAACCACGGGCCTCGGCAAGCCTAACTCTATATCCAAAGGTTGTGCATCATCCCCGACAACACCCCTCATAACGTTACCCTGCAATACCCCGTATAAGAACCACTTCCACTCCACCAATCTACCCTTTCCACCACAGCTACCCGAACACCAACAAAAAGAAAACGAAGAAAAGACACCAAGATGGCCCACCGTCTCTCCCAGATCTCCTCCCACCTCAACTACCCCCAAGGCCTCCTCGCCAATCAAGTCGCCATCATCACCGGCGGTGGCCAGGGCATCGGCGCCGAGACCGCGAAGTTATTCGCCAATGAAGGCGCCAAAGTCGTCATTGCTGATATCGATGCTGGTATGTTTCCCTTCCCCCCTCCTCTTTCCTGCCTATACATATACATCATCACCCATACACACAATTATAAATATAGAACTAGCCACATAAACAAACCACCAAGAAAAAAAAAACAATGAAATAAAAAAAAAGAAAAGAAAAGAAAAAGGACAAGATACTAAAGCAAACATACAGAAAAAGCCACAAACACAGCCAACGCCATCAACGCCGCGGGCCCGAACCGGGCCATCGCCGTCACGGGGGATATTCTCGATGATGCATATATCGAGTCGTTGGTGAAGAAGGCGGCTGAGTTCGGGAATGGCAAGATTCATGTCATTGTTAATAATGCGGGGTTTACGTGGGATGGGGTGATTCATAAGGTTTGTTCCTCTCTTTTTTACTTTCTTTCTTTATATATATATATATTCATATTTATATATCATGTGCGGGCTGGGTGGTATGTTTGGATTTTATATGTATGGTGTTGCTAATATGGTCTATTCTAGATTACGGATAAACAATGGGATACTATGCTGGCTGTGCACAATACGGCGCCGTTTAAGCTGGTGCGTGCTGCGGCCAAGTATTTCCGGGTGAAGGATGGCGAGCCGCGGGTGATCATTAACATCAGCAGTACGAGTGGGATTCATGGGAATGCGTATGTATTCTTTCTTTCTTTTTTTATTATTGTCTTTCTTATGGTCTTTTTTTTAAGTCACCATGGTGGTAGCTTTTTTACTGATGATATGCAGAGGCCAGGCTAACTACGCCCTCGCCAAGGCCGGAGTGGTTGGACTCACCAAGACCATCGCCAAAGAATGGGGTCCCGCGTTTGGGGTCCGGTCGAACACCATTGCCTTTGGCCATGTGCAGACCCGCCTGACGGCAGCCAAGGAGAAGGGCGCGTTCATTACCACGCCAGACGGCACCAAGGTGGCGCTGGGCATTCCCGGGAAGCAGCTGGAGTCGCGCAAGGGCGGCGCGGGCGAGCAGAAGCAGACATACCCGGATATCCCGTTGGGAAGACCGGCCTCGCCCGAGGAGGCGGCGAAGTCTGTCCTGGCCGTGGCTAGTCCCCTGTTCTCGTACGTGACGGGTGAGACGATTCGGGTTACTGGTGGCAGGAACATGTAGTGCCTTGAATTGATTAGTTATCCGGGAGTTTTATATATACTTCACCATGAGGTTGGCACCGATGAAAGCTTTCTCGGCTAGTTCGACCCCGACGGGTGGTATATTATTCGCTGTGGATAAGTAGAGATCACGATGACGTGGATCATAATAATACATCGGTATAAGGAATAGTATATACATACATAAGACTAAAGAGAAATCCATGGCCTGTGCGAGCCCGCACGAGCCCGTCAGACGCCGTCTGATAAAAATAGAAGCCGTTGAAATGACACAAGTCCTCAAGGGCCAGGGTACCTCGGTCAAAACAATCTCCGTTTCAGAATGAAGCTTCACCTGGCGGAGCTGCCTGTAAGCGCCGGACCCACCGTGAACTCAGGACTGAGATAACGCATCAAGTGTCATCGCCCGCCAACGAAGAATGGTTGCAAGGGTGGCCATGCCACGCAAGCCCAGGGTGCCTGGGCCCGCCATGTCAAAGTGCAATAAGATCGGCTGCCTCTAGAGCAGGAATAAACGCACAAACAAACAAAAGTCTAAGTTCACCGCATCATAGCGGACACCTTATTTCCGGTGGATACTCAATTAAAAATAAAAAAAAGTAGAGGGAGACGAAATTGAAAAATGAGAGGTCGGTAGTAGAAAAGAAAGAAGTGAACGAAGAGATCGCGGTCGTCATATCTCTATTTATAGCGCTGTATCCACGCTTCACTCTGGTTCTACCCCTTCTGGTCGGCCCATGTGCGGACGACCTGGGTGAACTCTCGTATGGCTATCTCAAATATCTCCATCAGAGGGGAACCGAACAGATCTGGGTGCGACATATCGAACCAACGGATCAAAAGCTATGTACCAGTAGATCGAAACGAAAAGATCAAAAACGAGATCAAGAGCGGAGAGTCATTTCTCCCCGGCTCCCAGGTATCATCGAGAAAAAAAAAGAGTGAAAGTGTAACCAAAGTATCCAAGCGGCCCTCCACAAACTCCGTGCAAACAGGAAACAATGCAATGCTGTCTTGATCCAGGGGTATTTTCTTTTCTTCTTTCAATGCCAAGGTGAGAAACAACAAGAAGGATCAAGGGAAGTGAACGCCAACAGTCAACCATCATGACAGCAAGTGTATCATAAAAGCCCACAAATCCCACCCAAAACGAGAGCAATGTATCACAGACAAGGAAACAAAATAAGAATAAACATATTACTAATAAAACAGAATCGACGTTTCCGACATCCAACAAAACCTCACGGAGCGAGTTGGCGGAAACCGTTCCAAGAAGGCAACTCCGGCACACCGGCCATTATCCAGCGGGCAATGATCCGGGTATTATCCACAAATCCAGGAAAGGGTCCAAATGAAAGAAATTAAGGCATATGTTCAAAAAAACCTGCTCTCCCAGGCTTTCTGCGCCGTGAAATAATACACTTGTCGCTTCAGAAATGCAAGGCGATATAACCCAGAAATAGTCGAAGGAATGTTTTGAGTGTATCCCTGGGAAATCGAAAGGTATTGCCGTTAAATCATAAACCTGCGTTAAATAGTTTTTTGAAGGAACCACTGCTTAGTAGGCAGGGACTGGGATAGGGTGTGGGAAAGGCATCAGCAGCGGCTCAACGAAGTCACTGCACGTGATCGAGTCCGTTGGCGCGAAGATGTTCTTGCAATCGGCCTCGCAGTCCAGTCCCACGGAAGACATCGACGAGACACTATCTACGTCGGGGTAGCCTTCTGTGAACGAGGACGCATCCGACACCGCCGACTGCAACGAGTCGGAGTAGTGAGAGGAGCCAGAAGACACGGAGGACTGCGAATCATAGACATCCGAGGGGATGTGGTGCACAGGGACCTGTGGGTGATTGACAAAGTCGACCGGCATTGGGCCGTTGATGGAAACCCAGGGGGGAATGGTAAACTGCGGGCATTCCAGGATCATGGTGCGCAACTCCGGGATGGTGATCCTCTTTCTTGGGTCGCACTCGAAGATGCGGCTCAGGATACAGATCATCTCATCGGTCAAAGGAAGAATAGACTTGAGGAAGTGCGGATCCTTCAGGTAGGCCCGGAATGTGGAATCCTCAGGAGAGGCGCGCTTCCAGGGGTTGCGGCCACAGGTCAGGTTGACCAAGATTACGCCCAGACTCCAGACATCATTGGGAGCGGATTCATACCATGACATTGGGCGGGGATTTGGTTGCTGACATTCTTTATGTTGCAGGCCAACTGTTAGCCACTGATCTCGATCGGCGACGACAAAGGAGGGGGGATTCAAGGAGGGAGGGAAAGGGGTGGCGTACCTGGTGACATGTAGAAAGTCGACCCGCAACCAAAATCCGATGTACAGGCATCCGTGGTAGCAAGGCCGAAGTCAGCTAGCTTGACGGTCAACCCCTGGTCGGTCACCAGGATGTTTTCCGGCTTGAGATCCCGGTGGTAGATTCCAATGTTATGGCAGTACTGAACAGCATCCAGAATTTGAAGGAACACCCGCCTGACCAAGGGGTCATTGTGCACAAAGTTGCCTTTCTCCGTGATACTGGAGAACAGGTCACCTTCGGGGCAGAACTCGATGACTACATAGGTGCAGTCGACGGAATCCATTATGCGGACCAAGGAAACCACATTGGGGTGTTGACTGGCCATATGGTGCAACTTGATCTCACGCTGTTGAAACTTGAGCTGGCGCGGATCCAGGCCAGCTTTGTTGAGGGCCTTGACCGCATACATCAGATTGGTATGGATGTCAATGGCCGTGTAGACGACCCCGTAAGCACCTACTCCCAGGATTCCCCTCAACTCCAGCCGGTTGGCCAAGAGCAGTCCCAAACGGTCTTCCGGTGCATAACAGCGGGTGATAGGCGGAGAAGGCGGAGGGGTGGGGAGCATTGGAGGATACATGCTCAACGGAGTTGGAGCAAGCATGAGGGCAGCGGGAGTGAAGGGGATAAGATAAGGGTGACAAAGATGATCAAGTGGATCCCAGGAGACCAGAACGAGGGAACTCTCTCCGTCCGGGTGGAAGAGAGAGGGTTTGATCAAAGGATGTAAGGGATAGAAAGTCGGTGATCCGGGTTAAGAATGGTCCTGTAGAATCCAGTAGGGACGGGTTTTAAACATCCAAAACCAGTATTTATATAGCACACGGAACAAGAAGAAGTCGCCTTAAGGATCCATCAAGGGAATGGAGACGCCTGTCAACGGGAAGAGTAATGCAGGTCCTATGGGGAAATCCAAGTGGCGAGGTTGATCCAGTTGTAGATCTTGATGTCTCTTTTTTTTGGCAGTGGCCGTTGTAGTAGTAGTAGTAGTAGTAGTAGTAGTAGTAGTAGTAGTAGTAAGTAGACGCGGGTAGTTGTGGCAACGTTCAGGATGTTGCACAGCCCAGAGACTTTTTTTAGTTTTTTATAGTATCAATGTCCAACACCAGTACGGTAGGTAGTCCAGCAAACCAGGGAGGTTGGTATTGGAGGCGGACCGTGGTGGCCAGCGGATAGATATAAATGTGGCCGACAAGTACCGACCGTCTTGTATTATGTAGGGATAGTTGCAGATTGCGATGGATGGATGGATAGTTAAGGGGGGTTTGTCCGGGCTGAGTCAGAAAGGGAATGAAACGCACGAGAACAGTGAACAAATCAAACTAAAACCAAAAAGTAGACAGATTAAAACGGTGATATGAAGGGGGGAGGAGGCGGGAGGGACAGAAGAGGGAGAGGTAGAGGGAGAGAGAGAGAGTTGGATGGGGAGAGCGAGAAGAAGTAAGTATGAAGAACAAGAGGACAATAGCGATAAGGAGAGTGGAGGGAACGTAAAGTGTGTAGGGGAAATGGGAAAATCCCAATAAAAATAATAAATAATAATAATAATAATAATAATAATATTTTTTTTTTTTAAAAAAAAAAAAAAATTATTTATTTATTTTTAAAACCAAGTGATTTTTAATTATTATTTTTTTAGTTAGTGATTTTATTTTAATTGTTTTAATACTAGATCCCCCCCCAAAGGCTAAAAATCCGTCAGCAAGAAGAAATGAAATACGTGGGCGAAAGAGACACTCGTGGGTCATTCGAGTTTGGTCCAGAGTGGCCACCACAACAACCACTACGACCACAACCACCACCCACCACCGGTCGAAAATTACCTCAGACGGGTTTTGCCTCATAAGAAGAGGATCATAGTCGAATCAGAAACAGGAAACAGCCGGCCACTCATGATTCGGAACGAATCAATCACCCCTTTGCCCCCCCTTTTATGTAACTTCTCCGTTACATGTTAAGCATGCAAGATGGCCGGATGACGCTGATTGGGAACGACGGCGACCCACGGAGAGGGGCTAGCAAGATGTATGATGCGAAGACTAGTGAGAGGGTTCGGCTACAAATAGGAAAGGAGGGGAACGGACCATCTCCACCGACAAGGCCGGGGCCCTTTCATGCATCCAACCAACGACCGAAGGCGAGACACTGATGGCTTGGAACGCTGGTTCTGGGGCGTGGTGGGCGAAGACTCTCTCCATCATCTCCATCTCCCATCTTCCGAAGCTCCTCTCCGGAAGCATCCATCCAAAAAAGGTTCATTAACCCCTTCCGACACGAACGAACCATATTACGGAACTATACGGAGTTGATATAGTTACCTGACTCAGATCGTAATCACCGACGCCATGATCGAGACAAAAAGGAGGCAAGATGTGATTAGACTAATTAATGATATGCCCACAGTGGATCGCTTGGATGAGTCAACCCTACATGAATCCTGCCGACATACATACATACATATGTATACATTACATCTGGGGTGGAGGAGAATACCAGAAGCCCAAAAAGGGAAAATTTCTACATTTTACAATCTTATACGGAGTACAAGTTTACCATTGTTGCCTTGTCGGTCACAAGGCAAGGATGTTTAAGAATTTGGAAGGTATGGAAGGCAACGGTAAGACTAGTTCGTACCCTGCCGAGTGGCCCAGTGGCCCCAGTGGCTGTACTTGTTGATCGACTGCGGTAAGAGCTGGTAGCATACTAGCATGCTAGCAGTCACGTTGATTTGCTGCCTGGGGAATGGGGACCACCACTTTACGTAGGCGGAGCTGTTCTGTTTTTGCCAATGTGATGGAATGGTGGGGTCTTTTTCTTTTTTTCTTCCCTTCGTCAGGATTCGGGCCTAAGCCATGAATCACTTGGTTAGGTAGGAGAGCGAGGCGGTGTGGGAGCGGAAGTGTGACAGGCCTGTCGCAGTTGCAGATTTTGGTTTCTGTTGCTCAATCGCTGGTCCGAGCGCATTGGCTGAACCCGGAAGGGGATGGAAGATGAATCCGCCTGGAGAACGCCCTGATTGGAAAGTGTCACCTGGACCTGAAGGCGGCAAATTTGGATTGTCAACGATGGGTCGTCTAAAGGTTCCATCGTCTGGTCTTCTTTTTCTGGACGGTCGAGATTCCGATCTGACGGAAGAACGTCCATCCTTTCCTTTAGCGCCCCCCACACACAACCTCGCCAACCCCCCTTTCGGAACAATTTATGATTTCATGGGAGAACAAAGCCATGAAACTCTGTTTACTGAACCGGTGGTCATAGTGAGAAAGGTGACAATGAGGCTGGGAGGGGCGCCCGCCTTGACCCCACAGCCTTTGGACTCTATTGATGAGGAACATGGACGAAACGGTTTGTTTTGCCTCACTGACCGACTCAATGAAAGCCAAAAGCGATGTGCAACCCGAAGTAACCACCCACGGATGGGGTACGACGATGGAACCCATAGGGTACCTTGACAGCCTGTTAACCTTTCCTCTCCCGGTAGCCTGTCGTCCGGGAACCTATTCATTCTCAGTGCCAAACGAGACAAGAGGGAGAGAGAGAGAGAGAACGAGGGAAACGACACAAGAGTGCCAGCTCATCTCATGGCTCCACTGCCGAAAGTAACTTGCTCAAGATGGATAACTTTCAATCTAGACCTCGGGGAAGGGGGGAAGTGTCCCAGATTGATCGATAGCCTCGACCACAACAAACATCGTCCGTCACCTATCAAGCCCCTCCCAGGCCATGACAGGGCCAGCAATCCGGACGGGAAAGGTTGGTCAGGGGGGATGTTCGACCAGAGGACCGTTGACTAATGACCTGTAATCGGCCAGAAACGGTAGTCTCTCGAACATGGGTTGGAAATTGGCGCTTAAATTCTACTCGTAGTTCGATATGATGCTGACTACATCGCGAGGCGTTTTCTGTTTTGCCTTGTCTTCCTTTCCCCCGTCGCCCATGGACTACGTAGTAAGAATATCAACCGAGAGGATCCAACGCTACCAAGTATGTATGTACCACCTACAAGTCACTCTTGCCTCTCTCTCTAATTTCGCTGTGATAGCGGAACATTTCCACTTCTTCTTTCCATGGACTCCACCTAGAATGATTAAGTAGTTAGACACAACACACCGCTTGTCGCAGAAACCTTATAAAATATACACAGATAATTAATGCCCCGTTTAGCATAAATTAGGCCCCTAAAGGCGCAGTCCAATGGCGAGCGCGCAGGACGAGTAAGAAAAGTCAAGAAGTGAGGCAAGTTCATCAAGCCCAATGACCGCGGATCTTCATCCACTTCGAGAACATCGAGTGACAGCCCCGGCGGCCGGTGATTGGCTGCTCTGCGCTGCCACGTTTGCCGTTCCAAAAAAAGTTCCAAGTTTCCTGTGGGCGGTGGGGATTGGTCGGTGAGATCCAGAAAGTAAGGCGGTCCGTGGCTCCTGTTTCTGTGTCGCGCGGCTGCACGGGCCAGAAAAGCACACGCACTCAGCTTAAGTTCTAACACTTCATCTCATGTTCAATATCAATCAATGCTCAACCTGGTCATGGTCCCCCCGTCCACCGACTGACTTTCGGTGGTTTGGTCCACTCGATTTCATGATAGACGGATGCATTCCTATATTGGAATCACGAATCACTCTACTTGGTCAGAAACTGGACACATCATCTCTCCCTTCGATTTTGCAACTCGGAAAGCATGAAGTTGAGGTCGAGGGATGAGTTAAGACTTCCCTCCTCCCACCCCCCCAGATCTCACATGATCCCTACTTCGACGCACTCGAGGCGGACCTGAAAATTCAGGAAGCCACCTGAAGCAACTGGGAAAAGCATCCCTGTTGGCACTAATGGAGGAGTCGGAGATTTCTTCATTGGCTCGGCGGAACTTTGATACTCGTAACTTGGTCCATGACGACGATGAAAATCAGAATCAGAATTAATAATAACGACTAGCCAAAATGATATTCTAATAATAAACTCCCCGATCCAAAATCTCGGCAGACATGAACATCCAAAATCACAACATACTCCGTAGGAACAAAAATAAATAAGGAAAATAAAAAAAGATCGCCTCCACAGTAACACCGAGAAACGAAGAAAAAAGGAATCCCTTTAAGATTACGATCATCGTTCATCGACACCTTTTTGCGAAACTGACTTGCATTCTGTACCCCAGACACGATAAGAGCAGTCTTAAGAATGGATCCCAATCTAGGGTCCCCTCCGCAAGGGGCCAAACAAAAGAAAAGAAAATGAATCTGCATTCCGGTCTGATAGGTCTGCAAATATTGTTGCTTATCCTTCTGACCTATACTCTAACGGTCGACGGATGAAGACCGAAGCCATTGGGAGATCCTGCAATGATGAAGTCATACTGACTGCGATGGCCTTCGTTCCTTCACTGGTCCCTCGTCATACCGACAGGCTCATTATTGAAACGAGAGAGGGAAGATTCAAGGGATAGACGTGTAACATGAACGCCTCCTCAACTGGGAGTTGCTGACATCATTCTGGACGGCTTTCTGGCATGATGATTTGAGTCTCTGGCCCTTTCCTTTTCTCCACAACTATTGTTTGCCTCGTTGCGCCTCGCGTGGATGGAGGAGCGAGGCTCGTGGTGGTGGTGGAATCGAGGGATGGGATACTCCATACCGACCCTATCACCGTCTCACATTCACGTCGGATCCTTGCATATAGACTCACACAATAACAACGACAACAAAGACCAACCCCCCCTTTCGTCAGCGACCATGGATCGGGATCGGGATCGTCTTTGCATCATCCATTGAGTCAGACAGCCTGATGTTTGCCACCACTAGAGAGGAGGTGTTGGCCTGGACAATGCAAATCCCTGCTCCACCTGGCAATCAGATAAGTGGCAACTTCGCCCGATGGACATGGGGAACGGTGGTATATTCCCATTGGATTTGAGTAGACACAAGTATACTACGATGACATTATACTATATACAAGGAACGGTGAGTCGGAGCTCCACTCCAGGCAACGAACTAAGCCTTCGGCCGCAAAATGAACGGATGCTTCAGAGCCTCAGCCGGCGTGCACCGCTTTTCCGGGTTGAGACTCAAACAGCGATCCAGCAGATCCACAAACAGTGCCAGCTCCTTCGCCTCGCTGTCCGTCATTCCGCGAGTACCTTTGCCCATCAGCCTCGTTTTCAGATCCCGAGTGGGCTTTTTGAAGTCAACCACCCGCGTGACCAGACGCCCTGTGATCTTGTCTTCTTCGGTGCTGTGGAAATTCAACATGTCGTCAAAATGCATGTGTGTCAGCGATCCCTTTCGCAGAAGCTTGGGAGGGTATTTGCCCCGACATTCCATTATCGACCGTAGCATCTGATTGTTATTCCGCCCCGTAAACAAAATCTTGCCCGTGTACAACTCGAATAGCGTACAGCCAATGGACCACACGTCAATGGCCTGATCGTAGGGTATACCCAGGATGATCTCGGGGGCTCTGTAGAACCGACTCACAAGGTACGGTGTAATCTCGTTCTCCGTGGTCGAGGATGCAGAGCCCAAGTCACAAACCTTGAGAATGTTTCGCTGTTCGTTAACCAGCAGATTGTCGGGTTTCAAGTCCGCATGGAGGATATTACACTTCCGAAGCAAACTCAGCCCGAGGAAGATCTGCTGTGCGTACGCCCGAATCGCCATTAGATTCAACCCCACATCTCGTCCAAATTTCTTCAACACCTCACGTAAGTTCATGCTGAGATTCTCAAAAACCATGCAGAGATGTCCCTTGTGATCGAAATGGCGCTCGAATTTGATAATGTGCTTTTTATCATCGGGATCGGCTTCATGAAGCTGTTCCAAAATGCCAATTTCCTTCATACCAGCCTTCCTCATGGTGTCATTTTGTCGAATAATCTTGACTGCAACCAGCTTACCGGTTTTTGAGTCGGTCGCGCGTACGACCGATGAGAACATTCCCTTGCCGAGGTTCTGCTGTACATGATATCGCCCGTTGATCAACTCACCAAGACGCACATTGTAGTATCCTTCCGGATCATCCCAGTTGTCCATCATGCTGATATCCAGCTCCTGTGGCTGAGGCACGGCGGGCATGGCCGAAGCGTGCGCTGGCTGTGCTGTATCCTGTGATTCTTCGGCAAACATGTCATCATCATCCTCTGCAAACATGTCGTATGGATCCTTCGCCTTGGGCTGTTCTTGCTGCACTGGAACAGCATCGGGGATTAGAACATCTTGTTTGGTCGTTTTTGTCTCGTCGTATGACGCCGCAGAAACGTCCGCACTGGTATGCCTTTCCCTCTCAGCTTTCATGTCAAGGGTGGGATCATAGTCCGCTGCAGAAGGTTCATCTTTATCAGTTCCATCCACCGGAGCATCATCATTAAGCAAATCAGCATCGTTGCCGATCTTGAAGTCGGAGAAAGCCTCTCCAGTACTGTCGTTTGGTGTTTCGGAAGCTGACAGCTGCGAGTCTGCAAAAGAAATTTCGTGTTAGTTTAACAATGCTCTAGGGCACCTCGGTGGAACACAGGTGAAAAAGCCACATACCTGACGCTGCATTGTTTGGTGCAACTGGCTCGCTATTAGGTGTAGACGAGCCCCCATCGCCTGCGATATGGAGTGCCTGTAAACGTAAAGGCGTAGCCTGGCCTCTATACTTAGCTCTAATAGCTTCACGCCGTTTCCGACGAGCCTCCAATTGAGTTGCTTCGTCAACCGGCTCGGCCGGTTGAGGCTCTTCGTGGGTGTCTTGCGTCGTTGCGTTTGTGCTAACAACAATCAGTAAGAGATACTCTACACACACAGCAAACAGTAACAGCATACCTTTCCTCAGTAAGCGACATGGTATCTTCAGAACCTTGCTGCACCTGATTCGTTCGAGTTTCAGTATCACCTTTGGAATCTCGAGCGACGGGTGTTTGCCCTCGTTCGCTCACTAACTGTTCAGTAGACGACCTTCTTCTAGCATCTCTGGAAGCTACACTTTCCTCCCTAGGGGTTTCCCACTCGTCACCCGAGTATTGCCTAGGTTTCCGGACTTCGCGGTACGGCGGTGTTCGGCTTCGAGTACGAGGGCGCTTATCCCGGCGTCGGTCATAGTCATCGCTATATCGAAGACCTCCGCCGTAATCCTCCTCTCGATCATAGTCGTGATAGGGTCTTGGCCGTCTATGGGAGGAACCGCGGTTATAGTACCGGTCATCGTACGGATATCCGCCGCGTCGTGAGAGGTCGTTCCGGAACCGTCGATCATCATAATCATCGTCAAGTCGACGCTTATGTCCTCTGTAGCTTCGGTAGGGAGAGCGGGAACGGGAACGCGATCTCGTCCTCGATCTCCGGCGACGAGACGATCTGCTGCTTAGAGATGCTGGAGATCTGGGCGCCGGTGATGTACTGGCTCTGGTGGGACGGTCAACGCTGTTGCCATTAAGAGGAATTTGCGACGTAGTTGCCTTCGTCTCTGAACCTGATTCGATGATCTCACCCTCAGAAGGGGTCGATGGAGACCTCGACCGACGTGAAGCCATGATGCGACAGGTCCTCCACTTGACGTATACAAGAACAAGACCAGAGGTGATTTGTATGTAGTACGACTGGCCTTTAGAGCAGCTTTAAAGACAAGAAGAATGATCCTCGGTTAGCAAGAATGCTTCCGATGATGAAGTTTAGGGGGAGTGTATTGAGAAAGTCCAACCGGCTAGAGATGCCACGAGCCCTTGCCAACTTCGACTACTGTCCCGAATTGAACATGAGTCTTCTCCAGGAAGCGATTTTATGTGAGCGTGAAATGATGACCTAGACGCCAAAAGGAACAGATAGAAAAAACCAAAGCCGAATGACACGATATCGGGATGATAGGTCGAGATGAGAGATGACTTGACGCGGTACTTTCCCAGTCACTTTATCAAGAAGTTGATGAAGGCGGTGTCAAGGAGGAGATTTTGTGCCTAACCAAATCCAGTACTAGTGCCACCCCGCACATGGCGGCAACAAGATAAGCTGTGTTTCGCGCCATCAATTTTTTTTCCTTTCCCCCTCCTTTTGTTTCCACTTTCGATCAGCCACGTTGTTTTTTCGCCCGTCGGTTACTCTTACACCTTACAAACTATATCATTAAATCAAAATGGGCGGTGCAAGCAGAGAAGGTATGTCACACATTTGCTATCATCATACAGGGCGTCTATTGACTTGGAATTCCCAGGTGGCAAGGTCAAGCCTTTGAAGGCTGCCAAGAAGGAAAAGAAGGAGCTCGATGACGATGATCTCGCATTCAAGGAAAGACAGAAGGCTGGTATGGATGTCGAATTCCATCGTCTACATTTCGCTTGTCCATACTGATCGTCTTCACTACAACCAGAGGCCAAGGCCAAGAAGGAATTGATGGACAAGGCCAAGGGCAAGGGCCCATTGAACACTGGTGCTCAGGGCATCAAGAAGTCGGGAAAGAAATAAATCTCTCTTGAGGACGGCCCTACGCTATTTTCACGATATACAACGAGCTACGAGCTACGAGCGCAATGGTGGAGGGTTACCATATGGGGCCTCATCGCTATTTGCAGTATCTGAACAAACTCATATATTGTTATTCTCAATTTCAATATACCTCACCGAAGCCAAAACCAAACAGGGTCAATGCTGCCCACTTGGTCGACTCGGCACAGGCTCGTTGATTAACAGAACCGACCAAACTATGAGGTTCCATTTACAACCCAACTCGTGGCCTTGGTGTTCTTTGAATACCGCATAGTAACTGCTGATCATGCGCCGTTTGTATTATTAGACTAATGTTCAAGATGCGAATTGGTTTTTTTTGTTTTTTGGTAAAACGCTCATTTAGGGTATATGCAACGCTAGGGGTATGGCTTCGCCGATAGATCTTGAATAACAGGAAAAGACAACTCAGCGCAGAGAGGGAGAGAAACGAAGGAAGAGAGATGCCAACAAATTAAAAAGTATCTAGGAGAGAAGTATGTTGATGAGAATAAGGGAAAATAAAAGGAGAAGGGAAAGAATGTAGAAGACCCAGAGAACCGCCCTTCAGCTAGTCACTCGTTTAACCCATAAACCGCTGCTGCCACCATTGCATTCCTGTTCGTCACGCTTCCTCCATGCTCGGAATAGTTTCATGCCAATCTCGTGTTCTTCTTTAATGATATCAGCCAGTTCGTTGTTCAAGCTGGCGACCGTTTTCTTGACCTCGTCCCTTGCAGCCAGATCGTAAGCAATGGGGCTGGGCTGGATGACTTGCGTCAACTCGTAAATCATAGTATTGATGCTTGCTTTGCGGCGTGCAAGGTAGTCTCTCCTTGCTTCCAACATTTCGATGCGATTTTGGGTTTGTTGCGCTGGGGTACAAGGCAGAAGTTCGTTCGTTTCTTGAGACGGAGTGGGCTTGCGCGATGGCTTCTTCCCTGGAGCTACCGAGCTGGGAACGGGACGTTTTCTGGACATTATGGAAGGTTGGTACTCGGTAGACTGGGAAGCAGCGTCGATACTCCCTCGTGGACTGCCTGTCGCGGTTGAACTGCCTGCTTCTGTGGGCTCGTAGGTAGTTACACTGAAACGGCTCGATGGTAGACCGAAGTCATCTTCGTTGGTGAGTTTTAAGCCAGCAAGGGTACTGGTGAGATCAGGCTCCGGTAGATTGACGCGTGGCGGAGCACGGCTGCTTGCGCTAGTCGCAGGAGGGGTCGGCTCCTCAAACACTGTTCGGTGGATATTCTTGCTTGGCGCATGCATCTCCGGAACATTCGTGTTTGCTTCACCACTCGAGATAGTCGTGACGATGGAAGGAAAACCCCCAAGGTATGCGCCACTAGGTGATGGGCTCTCTCGACCTCTTAACTTAGAGGAACTCCTCGACAAGTGCACACGAGATGATGATCTGGCTCTTGGCTTTTCCTGCAAGGGTTCCACGATCGGAGATCTTCCACTAGCACCCTTCCAAGGCACTCGCATATTGGGTGGGAGGAAGAGGTCACTTTCTTTTGGTCGGCTACGGGCTCCTGAAAGCTTTCTTTTCTGCTCCCTGCCCCAGTTGAGAACGTCCGAACTACGAGACTCTATAGCTCTAGCGTCCGAGGATATGTGAGTTTCGAACGTGCATCCGGGAGCCGCATGCGCAAATGTATCTATGTTATTCTGTTCACGGGAGAAAGTGTCCCATGCGGTAGCAGGTCGCGTAAAAGACGGAGTGGGATCTTCTTGATTATCTGCGTGCTTGCGCAAAACAGGTATGTGGCTGGTGAATGTCTTCTCCGTCTGTCCGCCCCCGAAGTACTGCTCGAATTCTTCCTCTAGGGATGAGACTCGAGAGCTGCCTAGACTAGCAGGTCCATGGCCAAGGAAAACCGGCGAGTCAGGAGGTGAGATTGAACGGCTGTCCGTTCGACCGGGAATGTCCGAGTCCTGAGGGAGAAAATGCGTTAAACTGATCGAGGGTTTACGTCGGCTGTCCGCCATGGTATCTTGCGAATATGGGCCTGCCATCCCAACCGTGTCCGGCCGGCGCGGCTGAGAAGAGTTCCTAAAACGGGTTAGAGAGCGTAGAGCTGTGCTACTTCCTAGCTGGCACATACTTTGGCGGGGTTGGCAAGGTTTTTGCATGATATTTGTTGTTTTCTTTCTGCACACCAGAAACAAGAGGAAAGGACTGGTATTCATTATCATCCCAGGTCTTGCCGACCAAAGTAGGAGTTCCAATTACCGGCTTCTTCGACCGATGGAAATTCGATGAAACCTTCAACCACATTTTGATCTGAGACACCGCGAGCGATCTTGCTGCCGCTAGGGATCGCGATGATCAGTGGATACAGCTATAATAATGCAAGGGCGCAGTGACATACCTCAAATGCCTCCACTTATCCAAGGAGGATAGAAAAGGAAGAGTAGGGGGTTAGAAGAAAAAAAGTCCAAAATGTCGAAAGTAGGACGTTGAACGTTAAAGGAGGATGAAGAAAATGATCCCTGTCACGAACAGGCTGGTCTGATTTTCAATGTGGATTACTGCAGAGACATGCCAGCATGTCATTCAACACTGAGAAGAGGAAAAGTCGGCCAATCCTTGTTCGGTATGCACTCCAACAAAGGGAAGGTTTGGCTGACAGGCACTCAAATGCAACACGGATAAAAACCGCCCAGTAAGTAAAAGAGGGGATTTAAAAAGAGAGAAAAGAAACTCCGCACAGAGAGAAAGAATGGAAGCAAAGAAATTCCAAGAAATTACACAGTGCTCAACACAGAGTGAAGGAACGAAGGAACGAAGGAACGAATGAACAATTGCAAAAAGAATGAATAATAATGACTATCAGGCTCGCCTGATTGAGGGGACAAGCAAGAGAAAATGAAAGTCATGGCTTCGGAACAAGCACATGCCCTGAAAGGGTCCTGTTTCAGCGATTTGCAGGATTTCTGGTTGACTAACAGTTCGTGGTTAGTCTCCCGTTAGTTGGGTTCATCAGGTACTATCATTAGTAGTCAAGGTTAGCTCCGTGACTCCATAACGATTATGATGATCTTCACCCAGACCATTGAAAGCCCCCCAAGTCGTCCGAGGTGTGGATTTCCTCGGTCCTGAACACTAAAAATAACAGGGATATAAATTAAAAGGAGGAGAAATCCCGTCTTCTCGGGTGTCTGTGCAACGGGACTCGAAAAAGATTTGACATCTACAACAAGCCTGTGGAGTTGGATTAAAGATCCGTGAATTACCTTGGGTAAAACCATGGATGAGTCGATGGCCTGAACCCTCAGGCTGCAGTTGGGACTACAGCTGCGAAGGGTTCACGTGCGGTAAGTAATACCGCTGTCAGCATCGGCTTCTATCTCCGCCTTGGGCTGGGCACGCAGCTCTGTGAATTTTACATACCGTACCGTAAGTTCAAGTAATACCCAACGCTCTCTTCCGTCATCTCCAACTTGACCAACTTTACCCTCCGTCAGCTTCATCCTCCACATCAACTCCTCCTTCTTTCAACTAAAACTACCGATCTTCCTCACAAACAACTATAACCATGTCGTCTCCACGTATGTGTCTTTCGATATCATCCGTCAAACACATCAATCTATAATCCGTACTAACACGATCTCCAGAGGACGGAGCAGTCCCGCCGCCCGCCGAAGTGTCAGTATCCCAACGCCAACGCAAAGAACGAGTCCGGTCCCCCACACAATCGGAAACTAACTCATATCCTCTTTAGTATGTCAATCGCATCGCCGATCAACCTGCTCCTCCTCTCCCTCTTCGCCGTTCTGGTGTACATGCAATTCCGACCAAAAGCGCCCGTAACGCTTCCCAAGGGTCCTGCGCCCATCGTCTTCCGCACGTTCACCCCCACCACTCTGCTCGAATTCAACGGTGTCGATGGAAAGCCCGTCTATCTAGCCGTGCGCGGCCGCGTCTTCGATGTATCCCCTGGCAGGAACTTCTACGGACCGGTATGCATTACTTTGTGCCCATTGCGGTGACGAGAAGGATCATAGACAAAACTAACTCATTCTGGTATAGGGTGGCCCCTACGAGAACTTCGCTGGTCGAGACGCATCCCGTGGATTGGCCTGCCAGAGCTTCGATGAGGAGATGCTTACTAAGGACCTGAAGGCTCCTTTGGATGACCTCAAGGGTCTTGATGCGGATGCGTTGGAAAACCTCCAGTCCTGGGAGGAGCGCTTTTTGGAAAAGTACTTGGTTGTGGGTAAATTGGTTGCTGAAGGCGATCCGGAGGCCCCGAAGGCATAATTGCCTTGTGATCACCCACCACGGATAGTACCGCGTATTGATGATGGAATGCAGGGTTGAAGCTTCTACGGGGTCGAAAGTACCTTGATAGAAAATGTAGCATTTGGTATTTTCAAAAGCGATGCGAGTGGTTTTTTTGTTTGTTTCGCATGAGACATGATTCGATTGACGCTCGAATGTGAGCCGCATATATTGGGAATTTTTAGGTCAAAATAAATGCCATCGTATTATAAGTACTAATGTTAAACCTGCTACCACCACAATTGCGTAGTAGGTAGTGATATTGCCAATACAACATTTTGCAGTTGAGCAGCGCGGTCACCATAATTACCACTCCATTTTCAAGATAAATCAAGAGAGAACGACAAAGAATCAACAGGTACTGTTACAAGTCATCAAATCGTAGCCGAGATTAAGAACTCCTTGGATTTTCACAAGTTCACAGCTCCGCTCGCAATTCTTCCGCAGACTCCGCAGCCTTCTCTTGCGCCTTCTCAGCAGCCCGCTGACCCTGAGCCCGGCCACTGGCCGCTCCAATCTTCAACTGTTCCAGAAGCCAGTTGGTAGCATCCTGGAACTTAGCATAGATTGTTCCTTGTGGAGTGGTAGTGCCGTATCTGAAGTACTCGGCGTTACGACGTACTGCAGCGCGTAGTTCATTGGGACTAGAGCCTTGATAGACCGGAATACCGTAGGAGTCGAGGTAAGCCTTAAGCTCAGAGTGAGACCAGGTGTCGAAGGTGGAAGACTTGGCAGCGTCAGTAGCCTGCGCCATGTATGACGTAGCTGATGCCAGATTTGCTCCTCCAGCCTTGGAGGCCTTAGCGTAAGTATCTTGAGCTTGTTTCACAAGCTCATCCCGAGTCAGATCCGCACGGTGGGCTGCCTTGGCGTTCATGGAAGACAAGTATTTCCTTCACTTGAGGTCAGAAAAAGGGTTAATACTTGGTTATTTGAAAGGTTGACTTACTTCAAGTGCTCAGTATCCCAGGTATCGAAAGTCCAAGCGGTCCAGCCAGTGGCTGCTTTGTGCTTGTGCAGTCTAATCTTTGCAAGAAGCTCGTCACGCTTGTTACTCTGCGGAACAGGGACGCCTCGTGCATCCAAAAAGGCCTTGAGACGGGAGTCGGACCAGGTGGCGACAGCAGCATCAAAGGCTTCCTCACCCTTAAGCTGTGCGGCATCGGTTGCTTGGGCGTATTCGTTGCCAGCCTTAGTAGTAGCAGCGCCATATAGTTCTGATGCCGTCGAGGTAGCACTCTGGGATGCAGTCGAAGCCGCAGAAGAGGCCTGACTAACCAGGGAGGCGCGGTGTTTTCTGGCCAGTGCGATCAGCTCATTGCGCTTAGAGCCTTGGGGCACCTTGACATTATGTTCGTCAAGGAACTTCTTCAAGTCCGAGTCAGACCACGCATTGAATAGCGCTTCACTCAGAGTAGCCTGAGCGGCAGCTGCGGATTTAGAAGCAGAAGCAGCGAGGTTTCGTGCTTGTAGACTGGCCAGTCGAGCGTTGCGACGCACCGATGCGATCAGCTTGTCACGGGTTGTAGGCTGAGGCACCGGCCAGCCACGCTCATCAAGCCACTCCTTCAGATCGGACTCAGTCCACTGCTCGTAGACCCAGTTGCCAGGATAAGAAGCAGCCTCCCCGAGTTTTTTGGCAATTGCTTCGTAGTTTTCACGGGCCGTCTTGAGCAGCACATCGCGCTTGCGTGGCTGAGGGGCAGGGACACCATGCCGATCAAGGAAAGCTTTCAGATGGGAATCAGACCAGCTATTTGCATTTTCTTAGTGACGTGCATAGTAATGAGCACCTCTGTTCTTGACTTACGATTCAAAAATCCAGTCCTTGGCATGATGCCACTGATCGGTAGCCTGGTCCGCTGCTTGTCCCAACGGCTTTTGAACTTTCGCGTTCCAGTTTACCTTCACAGCGTTTTCGAGGTCTTTGCGGTCGGCAGGGGAAGGATACGGGATGTCTATGCCTCATATTAGTTTCTTGCGGTGTATCAAGACATTTCTCTTAGGCAGGTCGTACCATGGTCGGTGAGCCATCGCTCCAGTTCGGTTTCGTGCCATTTGTCGTACACTACAGTGGTCCTTTTGTCAGCATATCCTTTGGTCTTCGGGAAGCATATAGATGGTTGTATACCGGCTTTGCTGAACCACGAATGTGCCCCAACCGCCTCCACGGTTGCGAGGGCCAGCACCAGACCCGAAGCCAAATTTAGCTTCATAGTCACTAGTTCCTAATGTTTGGCGTGTCTTCTAGCTGAATGATCTGGAGTCACTATCAGCAGTCAGTATCGCTCAGAGAAATTTGGGTTGTGAAATGAAGGACGTCAATCGAGGACAACTTACACGAGTCCTTGCAAGGGAGATGGAATTGGAAACAAAAGATTATGTGAACAAGTGTAGTATTTATTTATTAGGAAGGATGAGAGGACCAGAGGAGAGATGATTGCCGAGTGACGTAGTTGTTTGCATGGTTACTGGCGTCATCGACTGGGCCAACCTTGGTCGCGCCTCTTCTCGACAATTCGAGGTGACCGTTTGCTCAGCTGTTGCGGATCTGCCATGGTTTTCACTGGCCGATCAAACGTCCAAGTGCAGTGAATGTAGTTCAAATCTTGTAACAGTTCATAGTTCGATTGTACCCTCTTGATGGTGGAAACTCCCAACAGATAAGAACGCCGGTCTAACCATTTATAGTCTAGCCCAGGTGTTGCCTCTTTGGGCCATGCGGAGAACCTGGACTTTGAAGTGTTAAGGCGAATACTGTGTATTTACCTCTCCGTACCGTACCGAACAAACAGTGCATACAGCACTTTATCGCTTATCAGGAGTTCGTAGACCGAGTGACAAGTCATCTCTCTCTCTCGCTCACTACCCCCCCAACGCATCCACTTGACATCGTATTAGCTACAAATAACCTAAATTAAGGACACAGCTTCAGGCATCCTTACGTGAGATGGCTCTTCTTTAGCCCCAACGGTTGCAACTCGCTGGCAAATTGCAAAGGAACTCACCATAGCTATCCTCTATCACAGGGCTTCGCCTCGGATGCTCTTGGTCAGCTGTTTATCACTGTCTTAATAATCCCAAATCGATCAGTTGCTCCTTAATCAATCAACCGCCATTATTAAATACCCGATAGAGTATTATTAGACACGACGTGTTCATCCTGTGCTTTACAAAACGCCAGAATGGATCTCCTGTCCAGCGCCCAATGCAAGCATCTGGTTTCTCCAGACTATATAAACTTCATCCTATCAATGTACAGTTTCCTCGTCTAACACCATCGGAAGTCTCCTTAAGGCATATACTAAACCGAACAGCTTGATCTTATTCGGTATACTGTTATCCTACCTTCCTCAGCATTACCGAATCATCTCCCTAAAGAGCTCCTACGGCATCTCACCGTATTTTGTCCTATTGGGAACAGTCTCTGGTTCGTCATCTTTAGCAAACGTGCTATCCCAACAACAAAGTCTGCAGGATGTTTCCTGTTGTAGTGAAGTCAACGGCCTGGCTTGTTTCGCAGGATTACTAGGCATCCTCCAGATTGGAACACAGTGTCTCTGCTTCTTTGTCATGTAAGCGACGTATCCATATGGCAATTAACCTATATCCATATCACTAACAAGCGACTGCCTTCTAACTACTCTACAGCCTATTCTTATACATCCTCTATTTCCCTCGAGATGTACAGTCGTCATCGCCAACCTCCAAACCAAGACCGCAAGGCCCGACCTACCGGACCGCCTTAATCGTAGGCGCCATCTGTATTCTACACATCTCCGTAATGCTTATTGCCACTATCACCATTGGACTCAAACGACCCGCCTCTCTGCAGTCCTGGTCCAACTTCTGCGGTATCTTGGCCGCGATCCTTTCCTCGATTCAATACTTCCCTCAGATTTACACCACTGTCAAACTGCGTTGTGTCGGTAGTCTGAGCATCCCCATGATGTGTATACAGACACCAGGTGGCTTTGTTTGGGCTGCCAGTCTTGCGGCTAGATTAGGCCCAAAAGGATGGAGTACATGGGGTGTTTTGCTTATCACTGCGACTTTACAGGGTCTGCTACTCGTACTGAGCGTTTTCTTCGAGTACCTGGGGCCGAATAAGGGACACAGTCATGGGGAGGACGGCCCAGTGGAGAATGATGTGCGCGATGAGCAAGAGTCGCGTCCCTCCGAAGAGACCCCCCTTCTTCAGAACCAATGATCGGCTCCAGTATGACAGTGATTGGACAACTTTCATACGATTGCTGCCCGTGTTTCGATTTTTTGGGTATTGACCTTTTGGATCTTCATTTTTCAGACGAGGAATGTAAGTATATATGTGGCTTGGAGCCTCGGGTACGATGCGGTAGACCTTTCCTTTGCTTGGAATTGAGGCAACTCGTCCACTGTACTGTTGGTATGGCAACAGGAAGACAACAAGACAGGACGCAGGGCAAAAGCCCCGATAGACGATGTGATATAGTTTCAAGTCTAACTAGTGTATAACAGGAGAGTAACATCCAATACCCACACTACTACCCCGCAACTAGGAAGTTGAAGCAAGCCATTCTCGCAGTAGAAGAAGTAGCAGCAGAGCTGTTATCCCCTCATAATCATAATATTCATAAGCTGGATCCCCGCCCAGAACCTAACCTACAACATCGGCCTCCGAGATTCCGCACTTAACCGAAAACCAGACGGAAGATGTCGTTGAAAACGTAGTAGCTTCCAGCTCCGTCAGGCGAAAGCTGGAAAGTCTGGGAGAATTTCATGGGGGTTTGCTCCTCATCGACCTAAAAGTAGAAAGAAGCGGGATAGTTTAGCAAATAATCCAACCTCAACCGTCCATGGATGGGAGAGAGAAAAACAAAAAAAAGAAAAAACCTACAAGTAGAACACCAGTCACCATGACAAGGATACCGCCATTCTCATTTGAAGGCTGGGAGTCAAGGGTGCTGACCTGGTGAGAGACCTTCTGGAAGGCAAGAGTCTGCAAGGAGCGATTCCAGTTAGCAGTGCTATTGACTACCCGCTCTGGTGTGACTCACAGTCAACTTCTCAATGATTCTAGGAGCGCCCAGAATGGAGTCATTCTCGAAAGTGAGCATAGAATTATCACGCTGTTATCCCCACAAGAAGAAAAGAAAGATTAGTTTTTCCCTGCTCTTGCGTTCAAGCCCTGCGCATAGAGGAAGACATACGTAGAGACCAGCCAAGTTCTGGCGCTGGTTATCGAAGGTGTTGTAGTAGAACTCAACGAACTGCTCTATTGGTTGCAATTGTTGTTAGAAATAGTCATGCGATTTTAGTCCGTGTTGATGGGTGGGGAGTCATGATCGTCGTTCAGCGCGTCTTTATCTGAGACGACGAGGGAACGTGAAGGAATATCACTCACTAGCGACGGCCTGGAAGTCTAGACGGTTGAGGATTCATGTGTTAGCTTTAACTCTCTTCCCATGTGCGTTGAATGCCTGCGCTCCTCATCTTGGAGGGGTCATGGGTTGAGGAGGGGCATTAGAAAGCAACCAGCAAAAGTAGGCTGATGGATTCGTCGTGAGAGGGGTAACTGTAGCACAAGCATGACTTACCGGCCATTTTGACGGATTGGGGGGATGCGATAAGACTGAGTATTAGAATTAAAGGGTATAACGCTGGAGTCGGGGACAGAGAGAGGGGAGGAAAAGCCGGGCTGATATCAACATCGAAAGTATTTCAGGCATTGTGGGGCTCCAGAATACAGTTTGGGCCCAATCATCGTCGCTGCCTCAGGCAGGGCGCCCATGGCAACCAATGACGCCTCCGTGGTTGATTGCGACTTCCATGGATGCGGGATTTGTTGCGCATATTACTTATAGTACATACCTAGTAATCGCGTCGAAGAAAATGGAATTCTCATATCTTTAGCGTTCAACACGGTGGACTAGAAGTGGTATCAAACCAAGTAGTTCCTACTATTTAATACTACATAGTGAAGATCGTATTCATGACAGGACATATCACTCCGAATCGGAATCCGCAAACATATCTTCCGCCTTTGGTCGAGGTTTGCGAACTGGCCGCTGGGGCTCCGGTTGAGCTGAGGGCTCTGGCTGCCTCTCTGGTTGCTCTTTCGAGCGACTTTCTTCCACAAGCGCGCTGTCTTCCTCCATAGGTTCGCCTTCCGGGACTTCCAGATCGCTGTCCTCCATTGGCTCTCCGTCAAGATCGCTCATCGGCTCTCCATCGAATTCTCCTCCGGGAGCAATATGTTCTTGATCAATATCCATACGACTAATCTTAGCTTCAGGAGGCCGACCTGGGTCAAATTTCTGTGTCGTTGTGTCTTCTTCCACAGACTTCCAGCGACTTTTACTCCTGGAGAATGCATTGGCGGCTCGTTCGGCTTCGGCCTTCTCCTTTTCTTCCCGTATTTCTTCTTCCGTGAGCGGCGGTTTCTCGAAAACCCCATAAAAATGTTCCTGGCTCGATTGCGGGAAGACACACCAGCCTTCCCACAGATGCAAAAGAGTTCCGACACTTCGCTTCCATTTCTCCGCTTTTAGGCGACCCCAATTGTAGTCTTTCTCCAATCTTCCAAGATGCTCGAAGATTTGATGCGTTTTTAACGATGACTCGAACAATTGCCGATACCGCCAAGCATGTCGCACGCCGCTGGTGGCAGAAGAGGAGAGGATGTCGGAGATAAGATAGAGGCCCACCAACTTCGCGGAAGACGTATCTAAATTGCCCTTAGAATGAGAGTGAGCTTCCTCTGCATCATTGGAGACATCTGCAGCCTGTTCTCGCCGAGCCGCACCCTTTTCCATTTCACGGTCAGGATTAGCCCCTGTATAAGCAAATGGTTCCTTTATATTTGAGACAATCATCTCCACAACCTCTTCTGCACCTGCCCCTGCATGTTCAATAGCAAAAGCAGTAACACGCGCGACGTCGCCTTTCCGTAGCTTCGCATGTGTCGTCGGGAGACGAGCGAGGAGGTGAGTTAATTTGGCCTTTTGGAGTGGATTCATATAGCCTAGCCCATCATTACTGGCACCCACACCATCAGCGGGAGGTGCTCCACTATGTTGACGTCTATCATCTTCCACATCAGAGAGGTCCTCATCAGAAGAGTCGTAATCCTCGTCAGAGACAAACTCATCCATCTGAGTGGTGTATTCAAACTTGATATTGCCTTCCGGGGGGGCCCAGTGAGCGCCACCTTCGAAGATCAATAATGAATTCCTAGGTTTTCCTCGTTGGTTCCCCCTCGAACAGCTGTTGGTAAGGACTTCCCATAGCTTCCATCGGTAAAATACCCCACCGGCACTTCTTGCATCCCATATCCATGCCCATTTTTCTTCTCTTTGAACTTCTGGCCGACTCATGAGGAGAGCTTCGAATTCCGGACCATGGTTTAACAAGTTTTCCAATGTTTTGTGTATTAGTCTCAATTGCTTCAGGTCTGCCGGCGCCTTCACCTCGACCTGGGTGTTGGGACCACTTCTACCAAAAGATGGCCCGTACGAAGCCGGGGGCGCGAATCCACCGCGATGCAACCCGGGTGGTGGAGCACGATTCAATCTTCCTTGCATTTCAGGAACAATGGACTTGGCACCAAAAGGAAGAGAGCTTGTGGATGATAGGCCAACAGTTACTGGCATCGTCGAGCTGATGGCAGCAGAGGATAGGTGTCTCGAGATCGACAGGTAGTATCCCCATCCCAAGTATTTGTTCTGAAGCGCGCTGACTGTGCTGTCTATATCCGAGGCGGCAGATTCGTTTGCCAGAGTCACGATGGCGGACATCGATTTCCGATCCGATGGTTGACCAGAGGGACGTAGGAGCTTGACATTATCCACTGACAAAACTGACGGTATTAATGACTTAATCACAGACGGGGAAGTGCCAGGAGGTAGCGACGCCAAGTACAGCGTGGGCTTAGCTGCAGCACGCTCGGCCTCTTTCGTATCAACAGTTGTATCCTCCTCATCGTCGGAGGTGCGAAAAGCCGCGGCTGGCGAAGCAGTATTCTCAAACCCTAGCACTCCATGCGAAAAATCCCGGTTTCTTTGTAGCGGCTGGAACCCTTCATGCGTACGTTTCCGCGAAAGAGATGGCGGCGGTGGTCCTAAAGTACCAGGCCCGCTCATGCGCGGGCCGGAGCTGGTAAAATGCCGTTTTGTAGGGCCTCCCCCAAATCCAGAACTCTTGGGGTTAAACCTGTTTAACCTTCCATCTGCAGACGGTCGGTCTGGCGCGGGAGAGTCATCTTCGAATGACTTCACGAAGTCTTCGTAAACAGCAGCGGTTTCAGCTCGTTCTCGGGCACGCTTGGCTTCGGCTTCGGCTTTCTGGCGCTCGAAGAGTGATTTCTTAGGGAGGGCCGAAAGTTTTGCAGAGACGTCTGGAAACCCCTTAGGCTTCGAATCGTCAGACATTGTGAGTCAGCTGCTACGCAGCGAATCTCTTTGGTATAGCTCACTGGGACTATAGGGTTGCGGAGTGCTTAATGTTGGAGTTGCTGAAAGCTGTCGGGGCGGAGACGGGAAGTCTGTTGTAGCCTGAGGCAGCGAGTAACAATCAACCAACCAACGAAGTACAGCTTGAGGTAACTTGTTCAATCATTGCCTGTCAACTCCCATCACGTTTTCTTTTCACCTCGCTACAGGAATTATTGATTGCGAAAGACATTGCATACGACTAAGCACATAGATAGACTGTCATGGCGTCCCAGGTACCAGCTTTACTACGATTCCTATCCCAAGATGCCAAGGTCCCTCTCGCAACTGCTATGGGTAAGGTCATGGAACTTCAGAAAGCCGGCCTCACATCGTATGGATAATTCGACTCCCCATCCGTAGTGAGGATGGTTTATGACTGATATTACTTTAGTCCTGAGCAAATCTCCAAGTCAGAAATCAAGACTATCCAAGAGATCTTCAAAAACGATAAGTTGGCGAAGCAGGTGTGGAACGCAGCAAAGAGAGTTTCCAGAAAGCGTGAAGCTTCAACCGGGAGCACAGAATCTCCTCGTAAAAAGGCAAGAGGCTCGGACCAGAGAGATACTACCACCCCTTTTGACATAGAATGTGCACTCGCTCTTCCGACCACCTCTGCGACCGAAGATGAATTGTCAAAGGTTGTCCTACTCACGAATAGAGCACCTCTCGTGCTGGCTTTTGCAGTCTGCCTGCTGAAGCATACTATGCCAGAGCAGCCAATCTCTAGCAGACTTAGCCTCGCTCAGGCAGTTGTTAGCGCTAATAGTCGATCCAAAGCTGCCAGTCTGGGTATTGAAAGTGAGAACCCCGCTGACCAGGAGGGCTGGGGAGAAGGACAACCTGTTGTCAAAGTCCTTGGAAGAGAAATCAAGGTTCTTAAAAGGTGGGACTACAATCCCAGGGAGGGTAAGTCCGTGGATGTGGTTAGTTCAGAACAAAATGAAGATATCTACCATGTGGCCGATGATATCTTAGGCCAGGATGTTTCGAATTCAGATACCTCGAACGGCATGCCACCGTTATGGGGGATTGACCTCGAGGCACTGCGAAGCGCACATCGTGGGAACTCGACTGGGGCCTCCACCGCAAATGAACCTCTTCCAATTTTCACGCCAGGTGCTGCGCGGTCATATTTACTTAAGTCATTTACAGAACTACCAAAGGATACTAACCCAACACCAGACAAGCCGAAACGGAAACGCGTCTCTCAAACAGACGCCGAGAAAGAGACATGTTTGAGAAATCTACTGCGGTCCATTGACCTGGTATGTCAGTCTTGGGCTCCGTTTCTCAGCAAAGAGGAGTTGGATCGACGAGCATGGACCTGGTATACACACGTCAGGCCTGCTGTCCAAAGCGGAGTAGCAGGCTGGGGAGAGAAAGGTCAGGTGAAGTTATCTGACATTCTCGCTTTGAGGAGACAGCCATGACTGTGAGTCCGACTGTTTGGGGCTTTACTGTCAAAGAATTACACCAATCAACAACGGGTCCATTTCATGAACCCGAGAACACTGACGGATTTCATGCTTGTGATCCACTTAGCATCGGATATCGCAAGATCTCTGTGTACCGAAATTGACACGACCGGTGTTATCCAACGTCTACTATGTTCTAGAAGCTCGGTATCTGGATAAGGAAACCGCTGTGTGGGTCAACCGTTGTTGTGATGAGTGGGATCTAGTCACAGACACCAGCTCTGCTAGACGAAAGGCTATTCTCGCTGTTGAGAGTTCACCATTTGATTGATAGCGCAAAACGCGTTTCTTTTACATATACTACTTGCATTCAGGTTCTGACCAGAATGGAACCTAGTAGGGGCCAATGCAGGTAGCAATTTCTGTCTTAGACCATACATGTAATATTTCTCTTGTCCTCCGTCTACCTCAGGACTCAATTGGGTGTCTGCTGGGGACGTCTTGCCGGGTGGGATCGTTAGTGGAATGATCATGAAGAAAGACCCATACATTAGTGGACTTGACAGGATGAATTAGTTCTCTTACAGGATATGCTTAACATTTCGAATGCTTATGATTCGTTACCCACTAGATGGTTCTTCTTTTTCTTTTTCTTTTTTCATCGAATGGGTTGTGTTTTTATTGATCCTTTAACCCTTGGTCCCAACCAACTACTCCAGAGTCGAACGCGGGCGGTCTGTTTGGAGAACCAAACCAATACCATGTTCGGTACCGAATAGCAGGGATGTTACTATGTGACTGTTACGGATATCTGCCTAAATTTTGGTACAGATTGACGAGGAGAGTATTCGGACAAGCAGATCAATCATTTCTTCTTTTTACCTTTTTTTTCTTGGCCCTCTGAGATCACCCGCATGCTCCCCCGTTGCCTCTGTCATCATTCAACGTCTTTTACGGAAGAGGATAAGATACGGTGGTAAAGAAAAATGCTATGACGCGGGCGAGGAATCCTCATCACGCCGATCATCGTTGAGGTCTTCCGCATTCGGCCAGATAGAGTTTTTCCGGTCCAGGCACTGCAGGATTTTTGGAAGAAGGTCCACCAACCGTTCCATGATCCCTTATTTTAGTGCTAAGCGGGGGGGCAATTTTGGATTTGGAATCTGTCGGTGGTCGCTAGGATGTTATGCCGCTTGCACCGGTACTGGTGGAAGTTGTCCGAGCCTTCACACCTTGGATATTCGGGAAAGAATTGGGGTAAAATGTCACTACAATGCGAATTGATAGGTGAAACTTTGGAATTTCAATAACTGGACAGCCAAATACTACTAGTAGTAGTCATGGATGGACGGGAGTGGCACAGGTATCCGAGCCAGCGGAGGGGCTTCCGGGCCCAACTCTGCCAGTGATAGGTCGTTGGGTATGTTTCAGCCCAGAGCCATTCGCGTGGTGTGGCCTCACGGCGCCAATCAATGCAGGCGAGGATCACCCGGTATCAGATTGTTTCATTGAAGCGAGGGAGTAAACTCATGATTTCATTTCGGTAGATTTTTTACTATGTATTATATTATTAATTGTCTTCTATGTTCTTAACGAAGTCGACTAAGAATATATTGATGGGGTGCGGATCTAAAGACTGTTAGTGTCATTGTGGCGAGGCTGAGCAACCATCACCCGCACCTTGAATTAGGAACAGATCATGAACGGTTTATTGAGGAAGAAGGAAACAACGGAGATTGGAACAAATATAATCAGGGAGCAAGAAATAAAAATTTACAGGTGTAAAAAAAAATAAAAAAAAGGGAAAGAAAAGAAAAACACTGACAAGGAAGAAGAAATGAAGGAGAATGACCGAAGCTAAGCACGAAAAAGTTCTGCCAACCATGGGCACGATCGGAAAAAGTAGTCAATCAAGGCACTCTCGCCTCCCTCCAAACAACTTAGTGCAAAGTGACCACTTTTAGTTCACTTTACCCCCGATTTCCCGCTAGTCCCTCTGGGGGTTCAGGCTCCCAGGCGTCCAACTCTGCCGCTCTCATCCTCTCACAACCTCTCTTTCTCCTCTCTTTTCCCCAATCCTTCAATCGCTCCAGTTCAAACACGACCACCGCCCAACCACTACTGAACTACCATCTCGACGTGATCATCGCCTAACTCCCCCCTCTTTCCCTCTCCCATCTACCTTTCCCCCCTTCGCCTCCCTCCGCTCTCTGTGCGCCCCCCCCCCTCCGTCTCACTCGGGTATCCTTAATTTCGAATTTCACCCTCTTTCATCACTCTTTTAGCTCTGGGAGGCCCCCCTGCCTTTTTCACCGCTTCTCGCCTCTTGCAACCCATTCAGTCCGTTAGCCTACTCAGTCGTCTCAGGTGACTGATTCACTCCTTTTGACGGATTGATCGAATAAGCCAGGAAGCCCGCCAGGGCTGTGCAACGCCATGCCGGGGCGTTTCTCATCCGACCATTCTCGCTCGCTCTCGCGATCCTCTCAATCCCCGTCTCAGCAGCATAATTCAACACAAGACGCCGAATCAATGCATCAGCGTTCTATGTCTGGTCACTCCTCCAACCCTAATGTCTTCTCCGATGAATATTCGCTAGAGCAAATTGATTCCGAACAAGCCACCCTCACTCCTCGAAGTCCATCTGTTTCATCAATCGCATCATCTAATACTCTCCGTTCGTCTTTCCCTCAACAACAACAAAAACTGTACAACACAACGCCAAATGATCTCGGGGTAACAGAGAATCCATTTGGGGATGATGCTCGGGTCTCGTTCGATGAATCACCAAATCGGTCAAGTCTGCCCCCAAAGGGGGTCGATTTCACCAACCGCAACTCTGCCTCGTCCACTAGCACCGCCCCGTCCATAGCACAGCGCAGTCAGAGCACTTCGTCACGATTTTCCATGCCTCCCCGGGCGCTGAGCCCTTACACTGGGGCTACAGGCCCGAGCCATCCGTATGCGATGTATCCACAGGTAGGGGTAAGTCGTTCGCCCAGTATCGCGACTACGTCTACAGTACGGCCGATGGAGCGACCGTTGGGCGATGCCAATGCACCCCAACATCCATATGCGATGTACCCACAAAATGTGGTGGCGGAAGAAGAGATGGACAATGCTATGATTCCCCCAGTGGGCTTTCCCGGACACCCTCAGGCATATCAACGACCTCCCAATCGTGCCGATGACGACGTAGGGGACTTGATCGGGCCCGATGGCCATAGAGAACAGCTGCCACCTTACTCGCGGTATCCCGATCCGGTGGTTCCCAAGGTTGAGGGTACTTTCGATCCTACTCCTGACGCAGGCGTCACTCTACGCGATAATACTCATAGCCCCAATGAACACCCCCCGCCGCCAGTTTCGGAAGTATCGTCGAATACATTGGTTGCGGAAAATATGGCGAATAGAAGAGATAATGATGAAGAGCGGTCGGCCGCAGCACCAGTTACCGGTGTCATGGCATTTGAGGAGAAGCTAAAGAGTAAAGGTAAAAAGAAGGCATGCTGTGGATTGCCGGTCTGGACTCTTGTTTTGGTCGGTGTCGTGATGCTGGTGGGAGCATGTATTGGAGGTGTCATTGGGGGCGTTTTGGGAGCAAAAAAGGCAGAGAATGACGACAACGATCACCCGAAAGGTCCGAAGATTGTCACCAAAACAGAAACCCCCCGGATGGACGCCACCCCCATATCCACGATCCCTACAAATTTACCAGCTGCGCCTACTGGGAATTACTGGATTCCTGCGGATCCGAAGAATTCATCGAAATTTTGTATTGTTGAGCAAGATTACAATCCCTCGTGGAATTGCATGAAGTCGGGGAAAATACCTGTGTCTCTGACCGGAACAGAATCATCGCGTAACATCACCTTCGCCAGGGAACCAATTTCGTCGTCTTTCACTTATGGCGCTCAAGCACCATACTTTTCCAATCCTACGCAGTCACTTAGCCTAATGATGGATTCCAGCGACCTCAGTCTCGGTCCCGCCCTGACCTTCTTTTCCTTGTTTGATAAATTGGTTATTGTACCCCAAGATACCTTCTCGTCTAGTTCAGTTTCTTCAAAACGTGCTATCAGTGAGGATGATGTCATGGCAGGCGCATTCCATCGCTTGCAGACGGCGCGGGCGGGCGACAAACCCTGGTTTTGCTGGTGGAACAGCACCGTGATGGAATTTTTCCTGTACCTCAATCAATCCACTAAGGAAGCTCAATACAGTTCCAGTTCGACACACCTACCATCTTCACAGGCTACGGATTCTTCGAGCTCGGTGTCCAACTACCCTCTTCGAATCAAAATGGATGAGAAGAGAGATTACCCAGAGGCCCAGTCGCCCTATTGCCAGCAGATGCAAGTTATGGACGACGGCTCCGTTAGCCCCATATTACAACAGACGATTCAAATCAAGGAATTGGAGCCGACACCGACGACAACGCTCAAGTACTCTGCGAGTGCGACCCAGACTTACACGGCGACCGCACAGTATGAGCATGTGTGCTATTGTGTCGCATTGACGGATTAGCGAGTCATTAGAGAGGGTATCTACAATAAACCCCGAGGAGTATCGGTTGGTACTCCCTCGTGAAGGTAAAGCGTCGGCGTTACCAAACGGTGGAAACGGTCCATTATCTTTCATGTGCATACGAATGATTGGTTCTCTTCTGCGGTCAGCATCTTGGCTGTGCTGAACGTCTCGCATTGTTTACAGAGTTTATGGCATGCATCGTACACTTTCGGTTCCCCTTGCGGCCTGTCTCGTGTCATTTTTGGTCTTCCATGATGTGCTTTGACGCCATTGTCTCCAGTATCTTGTCCAGCATGTTCCGTGATTTGTTCCGGCGCAACTTTATGGCGTTTTTTTTGGATCGGTGCAGGTGGCCAATCTCAGTCCATCGTTTTTTTTTTTTTTTTTTTTTTTGGGCCGACAAACTTTTTGGCTTTTTCTTGGACTACTTTTCTATATTTAACTGCTCGTGTCCCAAGTTAACTGTCCATACCGGTGGTCATGGTTTTATTTGTGACCGTATGACTTGACAGTTCCGTCGTCGAACTGGTTCCGGTTTCATGACAGAATAGGCGAATATAATTTTTCGATCATCAAATGATCACAACCTGATCTTCGTTTTCTCATTCGATTGTCCTTGGTTCACTTAGTAATCTAAAGAACTGGAGCATTCTCGTTCTCACCCAATAAGTCGGGTCCTGTAGAGTATGACCGTATCAAGACGTCACCGGTTACATTGCCGACGATCAACAGAGATTCAACGTCTGAACGAGTGCCACCAGGGAGAATTTCGTTAATTAGTTAAAAACCAGGAGGTAGCACAATCTTAGATTTACATCCGCGGTAAGTAATTTTCCAAATCGAAATAATATCGCGAAACAACATCTCTTCACGCTCCATCCATCCATATTGATTACCCCAATTCCGATCCGATATGAATCCAATCTTGCGCAGAGGCTCCCTGTTGAGGGTGGTCAATCCGTCGACCCCTTCACTCTACCGTTCCAGGAAGGTCTCTCCTCTGTCATGGCGGACCTACGCTCATAGTTCCTATGGCGGGGAAGGGGAGACGAAAGCTCAACAGCCCAACAATCCGCGGAATACTCCCACGCGAGACATTGAACATCCAGGTACGTGAATTGGATAGACCCGACATAACAGTGGGCCGAATCTGACCACACTTATGTAGGACCATCTGCCCCAGATGTCAGCAAGGGCTCAACAGCATCTTCAAGCTCTCAGCCCCGATCCTCTACATCCCAAGAAGATCGAGATAAGGAGGATTCAGAAGGTAGACCTATTCGGATGTCACCCTCCAACGACGCAAAACCAACGATTACTGACGGACGCCATTCACCCAACGTTGACTCTGAAGGCAACGTGAAGTCAGATGTGCCCAATGATGTGAAGAAACATAACGAAGAGATGGAGCACCGGTACGATCGACCTTACAATCAACTTGGGAATGAAGGGAAACCACCGAAAGGGTTTTGAGAAAGGCCACAAGCCTGGACGAGTGGTGTGGCTCGTGGCGATATCCCTTATGGTCGGGTGGAATTGGGAAAGTTACTATATGATTAATTGAATGGGACGCGGTTTAGAAATTGAAACCCATTCGAAAACGGCATTTGGTGGATCATCATTCGCATCCCAGTCTTGATATAGGCCCGAGCGCGCAACGATGCTATAAGTTTTTACTCCCCAGGGCCCTAGATAGATTCTTAGGTGCTACAAACTTAAGGTTAGACGTTCGTACTTCCAAATCGTAGACACTCATGTGGCTTAAATTTTGTATATCTACTCCGTACGTCTTTCTGATCTTGACCACCCTGGGGAATTAGGTCACGGTTCTATTGCCACGGAGTCATGATGGAACCGCCACGAGGCTGGAGAAAGGCCACGGGTTCCTGAACGCGGATCTCCCGCGGTCGCCGCCAAGCAAACCCATCGCTCAGGAGCATCACTCACAGCACCTACGCAGCTTACTACTCTCTGACACCGAATAGTCAATTGCGGACGGAGTCTTTGTCGCAACGTATCTTCCCCGCGTTTTCCTTGGAATCTCTCCCTTGCAACAATCAACATGGCCGCCGCAAAGAACAAGTACTCGGTCATTCTCCCAACCTACAACGAGCGGAAGAACCTCCCTATCATCTGCTGGTTGTTGGAGCGCACCTTCCGTGAAAAGTGAGCTTTAGCCTCCCCCTTTGCTATTTGACATATCCTCTCCGATACTCCATCCCTTGCGCCGATTACGGCTAACCGCTCTCCACCGATAGCAACTTGGACTGGGAAGTTGTCATCGTCGACGATGGCTCCCCCGACGGCACCCTCGAAGTCGCCAAACAGCTGCAGAAGCTCTGGGGCCCTGAACATATCAACCTGAAGCCGCGTGAGGGCAAGCTCGGTCTTGGAACTGCCTACGTGCACGGTCTTCAGTACGCCACGGGCAACTTTGTTATCATTATGGACGCCGACTTCAGCCACCACCCCAAATTCATCCCGGAGATGATCCGCATCCAGAAGGAATCGGACGCCGATATTGTTACGGGCACGCGGTATGCCAGTCGCGACAACGTCAAGGGTGGCGTGTACGGCTGGGATCTATTCCGGAAGTTTACATCGCGGACGGCCAACCTCATCGCCGATGTCATGCTCATGCCCGGGGTGAGCGATTTGACGGGCAGCTTCCGGCTGTACAAGAAGAGTGTGCTGGAGAAGGTTATCCACAGCACCCAGAGCAAGGGGTACAGTTTCCAGATGGAGATGATGGTACGGGCCAAGGCCATGGGCTTCAAGGTTCAAGAGTGCCCGATTACCTTCGTTGATCGGTTGTACGGAGAGAGCAAGCTGGGTGGTTCTGAGATTGTGGAGTACTTGAAGGGCGTGCTTACCCTGTGGCTGAAGGTCTGAATGGTTTCTTTGGCCTCTGTTGTTTGGGGTCTTTGTTCAGGGGCCGCTCCGTGGCCTTCGATATACTAGTATACCCTCCGTTTTCTTCTTGCTTGCGGCAAAGTTTTCTTAATCTTTCTTGTTGATGTGCTGGTCCTCGTTAGACCTTTGTTTCATGTACATTAAATACCAAAATGCTTGATTCCATCTTTTCATGTGTGGTTCGACCGTTCATGGTGCCCTGACCGTATCCTCTCCAGCACACTACACACTGTTCAGATACTGAAGGACACGCTCCACCAACCAATCCTGACCCTCATCCTTCACATTGTGCGCGGCCCCTGGAATGACGCCGCTATATTCACTCCATTTCTCCACCCCACCAGCATTCGTTGCCTCCTTCCACCTGCGCAAAAGGGCTTCTTTATCCACCGATGGCAGAGCATACTCATCATTTCCAGAATATAACGCCGCCAACTTGCCCTTCACCAACCCCCTTTCCGCAACCGCCCCAAACGTCTCCTTCAACCTCTGATCCTTCAGATCGGAACTGAACAAATCATCCTCGGCAGGCTTCTCTGGACTGTCGGGGCTCGCGAGACTCAGAAATCTCCGACAGCTAATCCCCGTATTATCCGGCCATCCGACCACGGCGGTAAGATTCAGCGGCAACAGCGACTGTGGCGCCTGCGCCCTCGCAAAATTCACTAACTGCTCATACGCCCCGCGAACCTCCTGACTCGAGTTCGCCAAATGCAAGATATGCTCCCGATCCGACACGGGAGCCTGCATGATCGCCCCATCCAGCACCGGACGAGCACTTTCCTGCCCGGGGAGCGGATTCGGGGAGTGCAGATAATGCAGGACGTCCTGGCTACCGGTTGAATGGCCCATGAGAACGATCTTGCCCTGGGGTTTCAGGCCCCGGACGAAGTTCACGCACTGCGCGATCTCGGTGACGTCCTTATCAAGACTTTCGACTCCCCAGCCGAGGTAGGACGAGGAGAGGAGGACGTTGAAGACGGTCCATTCTGTGGATTCGAAGGCCTTTGCGAGGGCGGATACGTAGGGGACTGTTAGGAGGCCGTCGGTGAGCCCACCGACGAAGAGCAGGCTGTTCTGCTTTTGGGGGGTTGGGTTGAATTCAAAGGCCGTTAGCCTTGGGGCCTGGGTTCTCTGTTAGCGCGTTTGGTTTCGTATGGCTGGATGGGTTTGCGTACATATTCGTGGAGGACACCAGCGTGAGATTGAGACATGGTTTATGTATGGCGGGTTTACGTCTGTAAGCTTGGAAAGAATGGACGAGCGAGAGCACGATATAATTTCAACAGTCCAACTCGTCCAATTTATAATACCTTAGACTAGAGAAAAGCTGTGAGATTATAGTCCCATAAATGACGTTTGACGGGCCCCGATGCATAGTGATAGCGGCCCACCGAGGAAGAGGTGGGGTCGAAAGCTGCTCCCATGCCTGTGATATTGAGCAGCAGCAATGTTTTCCAATTCCCTCAATATAACTCTCACACTCAAACCAAGAGATACAAACATATCTATCCTCATCGAAGACACAAATCTCACCAACAATCAACCAATACCCAGAAATTCCCCGATTTGGTATAACATACAGTACATTGGTATACTATGTACAAAACTTGAACATACAAAGTTATTAACCCAAAAGCGGCACGGTAATTTTCCCCCCCCGTTCCACCAGCGTACCGGATGCCCCCCCAAAAAAAAACCCACGTAAAATTACGTACACAGTCCAGATCCGCCAAGACAATCCGCAAACTTCAAGAGTATGAACGGATGGATGTCCGGCTCGTACCACTGAATGAATGTGGACTCTGTTCTCATGGCAGACTCTGATCATATTGGCTGTTTGAGCAAGTAGGACTGTGGAGCTAGCTTGTTGTGGGTTGTTTGTTCGATCCGGACATGACCCTTTCCTCAGATAGTTGATATCGGTTATTTATTTTATCTCTCTACGAGCTCGCTTTCCCGACGTATCTTTGACGTGAGAGTGACTTGAACGAAATGCCGCGCGCACGCAGATCCACCCGCTTCACGGGCGGTCGGACAAAATACACGAATGACCCCTTTGAGGCCGCAGGCGTGAGCGACGAGTCGGACGGGGGGTCCAAGGCGCGCAAGGGGGGGAAAGAGCCTGTCAGCGACGAGTCATCGGACGAGGAGTTCCAGGCGAATGAGGAGCAAGAGGAAGAGGAAGAGGATGAAGACGAGGGGTCCGAGGAGGAGGTAGCGGGCGAAAATGACGACGACGAAGAAGAAGCCGAGGAAGAGGATGCTGCCTCTGACGGCGGGCGCGGAGCCCAGAAGGCCGTTGTGGCTCGGCCGAAACTCCAGAGAAAACGGCTTGGGAATGACCTGGCTATGCTGTCGAAGGATGAGTTGCATTCGCGTGGCACTCATAGCTCGATGGAGCATATGGGCAAGATGCTCCATATGACGATCACTTTTGGCACTGATGAGAAGGATCTGTTGTCTATTGTTTATGCGCGGCAGCGGTGGTCTATGGGCCTTGATTCTGGGTTTCCGACTCGTGCTTCGCTGAATGAGGCACCGGATGTGCCGGATTGTGGCTTTGGGCCGACTTTTGGTGTTGAGCCGGAGGAGATGGAGAGGGAGAGGACGCAAGGGTGGGATTGGTATTACGATGATGATGTGGGAGGGAGGTTTAGGAAGCGCCAGCGTCTGGAGTCAATCTCTGAGAAAGAAGCTTTCCGGAAGTTCATACCGAAGGCTAGGGAGAAGAAGCATACAGTGCTGATTGGGCCCGTTAATGATCAGAAGGTGTTCACGTTAGGACAGCATGAGTCTTTCAATTTTGGAGATGCTTTTGGGGAGGTTAAGGCTCGAGAGAAAGCAAAGCCTGCCACTGGAGGCAAGTCTAAAAGTAAAGCTTCTGCACAGGAAGACTCTACCGGTCGAACTCGAAAGAAGCGTGAAGGATGGATTATCAACCTAGGACAGAAGGTTCAGTGTATGGCTTGGGCTCCAAATCAACCCGGCCTCACCCAGTATCTGGCTGTTTCGACACCGATATCAAAAGAAGAGAAACAAGCGTATCCGGACCCGTTCAAGGACCGTGGTGCCCGAGCGTTTAGACCCTCCCCTCCGTATCCATGTGCCTTGCAGCTTTGGATGTTCAAGGCCGAGAGGGAGGAGTCTCTTACAAAACACATTGATATGAACTTTGAACCAAAACTACGACTGGCCCTATGCACTAATTGGGGCGATCTAAGACGAATGGCCTGGTGCCCAATGAGTCGAGACCCTCGGGAAGAGGATGATGATGACGCCCTGCAATCTGTCGGGCTTCTTGCTGGTATATGGGGAGATGGATATTTGAGAGTCCTTGATATCAAGCTTAGCGGCGACCCCAATCAGGCTGAGTACTGTAAGTTTTGGTGCGAGTGTTAGCAGGACCCCTATATCATATTAACATTGTCCGATAGACGTAGTACAGTCTCCAGTCTTCGAAGCAAAGCCACCATCGACTTTGTGTACATGTTTAACATGGCTCTCTCCGAGTGATGTCGCTGTTGGCTGTGCCAACGGGTTCGTCGCTATTTGGAGCATTGTGCCTTCGCCGAATTCTCCACCAAACCCTTTCCCTTATTTCTACCAACCAATCCATTCTACATACGTTCTTAATCTAGCGTCGGCTTATCCAACAAATGCCCATCTAATAGCGACCACGTCCATGGACGGAGAGACACGGCTCTGGTCGGTGTTAGACCCGCAAAAAGACATGGTGGACTCTAACCGTATGCGAGTGGGGTCACCGTACTTAACATACTCTCCTTTGCTACACTCTTTTCTCTCCAGCGACGAGAACGACTTCGCCCGACTGCTAGCTGTGCGACGATTCTATACTACGACGGCAGTAGCTCGGTTCCCTAGCACAGTCTCTTCGCTGTCCCCATGCAGCGTCTGGCATCCCAGCGTCATGTACGGGTGCACCAGCGGTGCGGTAGTCGCGACGAATCCCTTACGGCGATTGCTGCACGTCAAAGAAAAGCAATGGCAACAGACCTGGTTTACGCACGAGTGGGCGCGTGGTGACGACGCAAGCGGTTCGGGTATCAGTAGATTTCACGATGGCTACCGCGCTGAGAGCATCAGCCTACTACGGAACATGATGGGTGATCGCAAGATGGTGAACGGGGTTATGACGATCACAATCTATGAAGAGGGAACGCATGTCACCGCACTCTCTTGGAATCCAAACCAGGCATGCGCAGGGTGGGCTAGTGCTGGTATGGGCTGCGGGCTGATTCGAGTCGAGGATCTGGCTACGTAACCACTTTTTTACATAGCTGTTGTTCTCCCTATCTTACTCTGAAAACGACTGTTGTTATAATGATCGAGGTTCATGACCGCTAGTCTTATTACGTATGTCCTGCATGGTCGATGGGGTTCTCTGTTCGTGCATAGTTTTCCTGCATAATTGAGTACTTCAAAAGTCAGTCGATAATCCTAGAGCTATAATTAGACGGTGTGTGTGTAAATAGAGTTGCAGGACTCGATAGATCCTGCGGATCTCTTGGTAGATCAGACGAGCTGGATAGGACATGTCAGAAACTTAGGGTTCATTCCGAAGACCCTTTCAGGGTCCAAGTGACATGCAAGTTGCATACGGTTAAACCCGAACATTGATCGCAACTTACGTATACCGGGATTTCGACATTCCAATTACATAGTAGGTCTCATGATAACTGTACTCCGGAGTAAGGGAGCACAACTCGCCGAGAGCGCCTCGGCGAACCCAAGAATTCAAGAAGATCATGTGTCCGGCCAGTCCGGAGTACAGTTAGCAATATGCGAACCCTCGGGTCGCCAACAGTCGGATACTAAACTCGAGCATCGTCGGAGAAATATAAGGACATGCTGACGTTGGCCTTGACGTTGCTCCCACTACGATCATGTACTGCGTGTCTTGGCCATTGCGTGTTGAGCGTGATGCATCAATCTCATTTTCTAAACTATTCTGCATCATGCATAAGCGCATAATGATGAATGAAAATACTGTACAAAGAGTAAATTAACTTCTGGCCGTTGCCCGTTGCTCGACGCCACAGGCGGCAAGTGGGGCTCTCCAGCCACAGATGCCGCAGCTAAAGAAGTCTTGGCACTGAATCAGGGCAAAAAAAAAGGTGTTTCTTATTTTATCTCGTCGTGTACACCGAAGTATGTACCGTACGTACCTCCATGTGAATCCTGTCTGCCTAACTCGAAGGGCTGCAGAGCCACACCAGACTTCTGCCGAATAAAAATAAACATCGGACATACATCATGGAAATGATAGTGATTGCGTGGACGTCGATCGTCTCTAAAATTAATGTGGCTGGCGGTCCCTCGTGGGTGGACGAGGGTCTCCCAGCCTCCTTTGACGGCTGTCGCCTCGGCCATCGCGGATGCACCAGCCTGCATATTACCCCATCCGATGGGTCTCTCTGCCGTCCGATGATGAATTTTTGATATTGACTAAATCAATTGAGTGCTTTTAGTCTCTTCTAGACTACGGAGTACCGGCTTTTCTATCTAGTTGCTAATCATAAATTAGTGACCACCCCTCCTCTTCTCAGGGTTGATATATTCCTCTTGTCTAGTTTATCTGGGGCATTATCCTCTGTACTATTCTCATTCTTCATTCTATAGAGAACTGCTAATCTAATCCTTGCTTTCTCTTGTCACTGTTACAACTCCGCCGCGTTCCCAATCCCTTCAATATGCATACCTCTACATTGCTCTTAGTCCTCTCTTCGCTTGGTGCTCATGCAGTTCCTCTCCTCCGTCTTAGGGCAAATGACACCCTCGCGCGCAGGGACGGTCAATATTCGGTTGTGAATGTTGGCGGTCTATCTAGTGCCGAACCGACCCCCGTCGTCGAAACCATTACTGTTGGCTCTCCTCCACAGCCCCCGGTGACAATTACTATCACCCACACTCCATCGTCATCCCCTTCCAGTACCCCTTCTCCCTCATCATGGAGCGTTGGGCCATTGTCAACTGGCATTCCCAGCGGAGGGACCCCGATCGTGGCTCGAGGACTGAACGCAACTGCTCGGAGATTCCGGAGGTCTTCCTCTACCAACAGCACTGATGTTCATGATCTTACTGCTCGTCATAATGGCACCGTGTCTCACCTTAACGCTCGAAGCAACAGTACTGCCATCTTAACTGCCCGTGGAAACAGCACAGAGTCCAAGATTGCCGCTAGGGGCAATGGTACTGCTACTGGTCTGGGTGCTCGCAGCAACATTGTCAACTCTCGTCTGGCAGTCCGTACCAATAACACTGCGTCTGCTGTTGTCGCTCGCAGCAACAGTACCGAGACCAACGCCATCACTACGCGCAGCAACAGCACCAACTCCCGCATCAGGGCTCGCAACTTGCACATCACTGACCGTGCTGTTCTTTACCTCCGGGATGCCCTCAACTCCACCCGCGTTCATGACAGCCATGCTGTGGTGAAGAGGAGCTCGAACGGTACATTGCTTGACGCTTAAGGCCGATGCAGAATACAAAATAGGCCTGGATGTGCGCGAGCGACAGATTGCGTCTCTTGGCCAGAATGATTGGCTACCTCATCGCTTATAAGATAAGCAAAGTGAACAATGAAATGACGGGTACGATATGAAAAGATTGATGAAAATGACGGATGACCACTGGCACGCTTTCCTTCTCATTTGCGGGTTTTGGTTTTAATGATTGAACATGATGTTCGATGTGATGATGATATACATATGCATATGGCGTTTTGTGTCTTTCCTTTGGCATATTTGTTTCTCGGGTGGGTTTACTTTTTTTTCTTTCGATCGTTGCTTTAACTACCAGACTAGTTCTTTATGGGTTGTCATATTTAGATAGTTTAGATGGCATGAAATTGCCAGTGAGTATATAGATGGGAATAGAATGCATATACTTGTATGATACTTGACCGCGCTAAACTCGAACGGGCACCCGCCGTACGGGGACTCCGTACGGTACCTTACGTCAGTTAGTTCCCTTACATAAGACAACAAGCAGCGACCCCATCGAATGTGATCGCATGTTAGTCCAACTGCGCCTCGTCTTCGGCTGTTGTTGATTAATCTTTCCTCCCTCTCTCCTGTCTATGGACCAGGATTTCCCTGATCCTTTCTCCTTTAAGTGCTCTTGCCATCGGCTCCCTTGCCATTGAAGCACTTCTACCTCTCATCTGCCATTTTTGACAGGTGTTGACCGCCGATACTCAGCCCCCCGACTCTCCCCTCTACTCTCCCACCATATCCGTCACGATGGCCACCCCGATACCCCCCTCCGAAGACCAGAGCCGTCTCCTTGAGGAGGCATTGGGAGTGGTGCGGCAGCAGTCACAAATGATGCGAAAATGCCTAGAGACCCCGGGAAAATTAATGGATGCGCTCAAATGCGGGTGAGCTTAACCTCTCGTTCCCCCCTCCCCAGGCAGCAGTGGAACCAACTGGTGTAGGGTCTAACATGATTTGTCAATTGGTCCAGGTCGACCTTAGTCTCTGAACTACGGACGCCGAGCTTAGGTCCGAAGCAATACTACGAACTGTACATGGCTGTGTTCGATGCGCTGCGACACCTTTCCGTTTACCTGAAAGAGAACCACCCCGTCAACCACTTGGCAGACCTGTATGAACTGGTCCAATATGCCGGTAACATCATTCCGCGACTATATCTGATGATCACTGTTGGCACTGTATACATGTCCGTGGAGGATGCCCCGATTAAAGAAATCATGAAGGACATGATGGAGATGAGTCGAGGCGTACAACATCCTATCCGAGGACTTTTCTTGCGATACTACCTCTCCGGACAGGCAAGGGATCATCTACCCACGGGATCCGGGGATGGCCCCGAGGGTAACATGCAAGACTCGATCAATTTTGTCTTAACCAACTTCGTGGAGATGAACAAGCTGTGGGTGCGACTGCAGCACCAGGGCCCCTCTCGGGAACGGGAAAAGAGAATGCAAGAGCGCCGGGAGTTGGAGCTTCTGGTTGGAAGCAACGTTGTCCGACTTAGTCAGCTAGTTGATCTGGAGGGTTACAAGTCCGGTATCCTGCAGGCTTTGCTCGAGCAAGTTGTCCAATGTCGGGATGTGTTGGCGCAAGAATATTTGCTGGAAGGTAAGGGGGCATTCGCCATTACATGATGAGCCGGAGTACTAAATAGTGCTGTAGTGATTACAAAGGTCTTCCCGGATGAATTCCACCTTCATACGCTCGACCTGCTGCTCTCTGCAATTTCCCGGCTCAACCCGCATGTGGATTTGAAGAAGATCGTGATAGGTCTTATGGACCGCTTGTCGTCCTATGCGGCACGCGAGACCGAATCGTCTGCTGATCCAGAATCTAGAAAGCAAAACGAAGAAGAAGCGGTTACTAAACTCCTCGAAAACCTGAAACTCGCAGAGGAGTCCAAGAAGGAAACACCTGCTGAGGCCGAAGCCGAAGCGAACGCTGCCCAGGAGAACGGCGTTGAGCAGACGCCAAAGGAGTCGGATGAGGCCGCAACTGCAAAGGAAGCAGAGGCAGAGCCCAGCCCCAGCACAAATGGCGACAAAGATGAAAAGGCTGGAGTCCCGACAGACGTCAAGCTTTACGATGTATTTTACGGGCAGGTGGTCAACCTCATCAAATCGCGTGGCCTCCCCATCCAAGATACCATGGCACTACTGGTTTCGCTCGTTAATCTTGCGTTGAACACGTACCCCAATCAGCTAGAATACGTCGACCAGATTCTCGATTTCGCTACCCGCGAGACTGCAGAGTATGCTGATCACGCAGATCTGCACTCTGCTCCGACACAGCAGAACCTTTTAAATCTTCTCGTCGCTCCTCTGCGCTCATACGTCTCGATCTTCACTGCATTGGCTCTGCCACACTATCTTCCCCTCTTGACAGCGCAGTCTTATACTACGCGGCGGTCTGTTGCGGGTGAGATCGCCCGCAGCCTGCTGAAGAATCGGACGCTTATCACCACTACCGAGAACTTGGACCGTGTATTACAAGCGTTGAGAGTCTTGATCAAGGAAGGAACACAACAAGCTATGGGACTTGGCTTGCAAGCCCAGCGCCGAGGTGAGACTGATGAGACCATCGAGGAACAAGGGTGGCTTGGGCGGTTAATCCACTTGATCCAAGCTCCAGAAAATGATACCCAATTGAAGGTAACATGGCCGAAGTTCAGATCACACTTGTTCCCTTTGCCCTAGCTAACTTGTTGATAGCTACTTCAAGCAACTCGTAAAGCCTATGCCGATGGTAACGAGCGTATCCGCTACACGACTCCAGCCCTCATCACTGCTTCGATACGGCTGGCGCGTAAGCTGAAGTCCCGCGAGCATTATGATGACAACTGGCAGTCGCAGTCGTCGGCGCTCTACCGCTTCATGCACCAATGTGTCAACAACCTTTATCAACGTGTGAACCCCGGATGTGCTGATCTGGCATTACGTCTATTCGTAATGTGCGGTGAAGTGGCCGACCAGACAGGCTTTGAGGAGTTTAGTTACGAGTTCTTCGCACAAGCTTTTACCATCTATGAGGACTCCATCAGTGATTCCCGTGCTCAGTTCCAGGCGGTCTGCATTATTGCTGGCGCTCTCCATGGTTCCCGGGGATTCTCTAAAGAGAACTACGACACGCTCATCACTAAGGCCGCCCTGCACGGCAGCAAGTTGCTCAAGAAACCCGATCAATGCCGAGCGGTGTACCTGGCCAGCCACCTCTGGTGGGTTGTCGAAAACCCACAACGAAACGATGAAGATCCCAAGAACGTACGTTTCCGCCCCAGACAACCCTATTTTTCCTCTATCAAAAGGCTAACTGGTCAACAGCTCTACCGCGACGGCAAGCGCGTTCTTGAATGTCTCCAACGTGCTCTCCGCGTTGCAGACGCCTGCATGGACACCGCCGTGTCCGTCGAACTCTTCGTCGAGATCCTCAACCGCTACGTCTACTACTTCGACCAACAGAACGAAACCGTAACCACCAAATATCTCAACGGCCTTATCGAGCTCATCCACTCTAACCTGCAAACGGACGAGGATGAGCCAAACCCCAGCTTGGAGGGTCCCAGACGCCACTTCGAGCGCACACTGGACTACATCCGGTCAAGAGAGTATGAAGGTGTTGTGACGGAGGCTAAGCAGTGAGAATGATTGTATGACATGATGCGTGTATACATTTTTTCTTCTCGATCTTTGTTCCATTTGAAGTTTCCTTTTCCCCCTGATGAAATACCTGTCCGCCTATTTTCCGTGTCTCCTAGCATGCAAAACCTGTAAGATTCCCTTGCCCTCTCTCTTCTAATTCACAACCTGCTATTTTTGTGATACGATCGTATAGGTGTATCATCATCTGTTGTCGTTCGTCAGACTATCATACCCAATATTCACTTTTTATTATTGTCATAATAGAATTTGACCGGTTACGCAAGAAAAAAAAATTTGACCAATGAGTGACGGAGAGGGTTGATATGCCATGTGACCACGGTAGTAGTTCACTTTGTAGTAACTTGTTCAAGCTCTTCCGATGCGGATATCTCATTACAGTAGTCTACTAGCAACTATGACGAGAACAAGCATGGTGAGATCAAATCGATCGTGCAATTGTTTGACACGGAGGGACGTTTGCTCCATGGGAATCTCTGCAATAAAGCCATACAAGACATGATAATGCCCGTGCGCGAGGATTAACTCGAACAGGTAGAAAAAAAAAAAAAAAAAAAAAAAAAAAAAAAAAAAAAAAAAAAAAAAAAAAAAAAAAAAAAAAAAAAAAAAAGGAACAAGAGAAGAAAGAAAGCGAGACCATCAAGTGGGAAACCGTATGATAAAGACGTGGAACACATGACATGACGCTTGGACAGAGGGGGCATTTCAGCGATCAATCATTCCCAAATCGCAAGTAGTAAAAAGTAAAAAGCAAAAGATAAAAAGAACAAAGATTCCCCATTTCCAGTGGTAGATAGAATCGAATGCTGTGTGTGAGTGATAAAGCCCCGCTAACGCCTAGAACCCCGTGGGTGGAGAAGAAAATTGTCGTAGCACTGATGGTGTGCTGCCGATGCCGCCGAATGCTGGTATGCTACTGCTTGGAACAGGACTGCCGATTTCACCGGGTACAATGCTGCCTCTGTGGCCTGAGGCTGTGCTGTTGGTATCTGACTCGAACTTGACGTATTCGCCGGTCTCGTCGTTCTTGATTAAGAATGAGCCCCCGCCGTTTTGTGTGTTGCCTTCCGTGTCGCAGATGTCGAGCATCTCTTTGAGCGAGATGGAGGGCTCGTTTGGAGGCCGGAGCTGGTCAACCTGGCGAAGAACGTGGTTCACGTCATGGTAACCAGCTGCCCCCTTGGAGGGACTCATGGTGTTTAGTTGTTTACAGGCTTGGATCACCAATAGCCGGATAGCAACAGGTCGCGACGTGTGCGCACGATGATGACCTCCGGACCCGAACGCATTGTTCGACCAACCGCCCCCTGAGATTACCGTTAGCAGTGGAAACATAATAAGGTCGCTGGCCTATGCTACTGACCGTGAACAGTTCCCCATGTCGAGGCGCCGGGGAAAGCAGAAGCCCCGAAAGGGAGTTGTGCTCCCCACGTGCTGCCGCCTACACCAGGATTGATAGGGAAATTTGTGTGTTTCGGTGCTGTGGGAGTGTTAGTGCCCCCTGCTACTGAGTTCATCGTGGGCTATTATGTCGATAGTTAGACTTACCACTAAGAGGGTCTGGGAACAACGAGGGCGCTGCAAAGCTGGCTCGTGCTGGTCCTGGTAGAGCCCCCGGGGCGGTTGCACCAGGGAGTGACTGTGACAAGTTCGATGTGAAAGGAATGTCAGTATCGTCAAGAAGGGCACTGCTACCCAGTTGGGCACTCAAGCTGTCCATATGACGCTGCATAGCGTGATTAGGTTCACCCTGCTCTTGCTGAGTACTGGATGGACGCTTGATGGGGCTCGGTCGGGAGATAGAGAACGGTTGAGCATGACTATCGAGGGGAGACCTCTCAAATGAGCCTGAGGGCTGTCTAGTATGTCCGTGTGCTAAACCACCTGGCTGTGTAGCGAATGGTCCTGATAGTGGCTGTTGAGAATGGAATGCAAGGCTGTGTCCTGGATCAAGCGGAAACCCTCGTCCAGGGGGTATCGGACGGGCTCCATTTATACCCGGGGGAGGCACAGGAATTCCGTTAGGTGCAGTAAATCCTCGTAGTTGACTCATGAGAGGCGTAGAATGCGGTGGGTACGTGGGCAACTCATGGCCGATTGGCGGTCGAGGGACAATCCCAGCCAAACCAGGGGGGTTTGGTGGTAGTCCATTCGAGAATCCGGGAGGGAAAGACCTCCCTATCGATCCAAGTGGCGACAGTGGTGTTGAGGGTTGGGGATGATGAAGCATCGGTTGATGAGCGTAACCTTGTTTGGAGGTTACACTCGAGGCTCCGGACGACTGGGATGGCGCCATCGACCGTGGAGAGATGGACACTTGTGACGGTTCGGTGCTGGCCGGTTGAGACCGTGGGGAAGATGTGTGAGAGCCTTGCTGGGATGGTTGACGGGGCTTGACAGGAGTAGGCGCCTTAGGTACAATTGGTGTAGCAGATTGGTAGTGCGGAGACTGAAGGTGACCTGGAAGTCCTGGAAAGTGCATAGTTGATGCAATAGGTACCGGTCCTTGTTGCGATGAACGTTTGCGCTCTTGAGTTTCTTGCCCAGCCTTCTTTGCTTGCTCTTCACGAACCTTGCGCTCGCGCTCCTCTTTCGCCTTCTTCTCTCGCGCCTCACGTTCCTCCCGCTCCTTTCTCCGGGTCTCTTCACGCCGTCTCTTCTCCTGCTCCTTCTGCTCCCGTTGTTTTCGTTCCGCATCCGCTTGTCGTTCTCTTTCTTCGCGCAGCCGCCGTTGTTTCTCTGCTTCTTTTCGCGCGCGCTCCTCCTCCTGGGCCTTCCGCTCGGCTTCTCGCTTCTTCCGTTGCTCTTCTCGCTTCTTCTTCTGTTCCTCTAACTTCCTCTCATGCTCAGCTTTGGCTGCGGCTTCCTCTGCGGCCTTCTCAGCTTCCCTTCGGGCCTTTTCCTCGTCTTTGGCTTGTTTCTGAAGACGTTTCTTCTCTTTCCTCTTCTCCGCTTCTCGAGCTTTCTTGGCATTTCGCTGTTCGTTGCGGGTTTGCTCCTCCATGAGCTCTTCAATCAGCTTCTGCTGACGTTGCTCAGCAACCTTCTCTCGGTAGGCAGTCAATACACGCTGTTCGAACATTCGAGCTGCAAAAATTTGGAACATTCGCCGGCCTTCCTCCATCCGTTGCTCCTCCGTCATAGCATCCTGAGAACAATGTGTCAGCTTGCACTGCAACATGTTGTCGGGGAAATAGTTGACTCCAGGACAGACCATCTCGTCCTCCTCGTAGTCTTCTTCCTCTTGACTATCGTAGTCGTCGTCCTCTTCGTCATCATAATCCTCGTCGTCATAAGGACCATGATTATGACCGCTATGGAGGGACTGATGTGCTGCGGCTATTCCGTACTGCGTATCTTCCTCTCGTTGCATTCGACGTTCGGCCAGTTGTTCCATCATATCGATAAAATGCTTCCCGTCATTCTTTAAGAGATCGTCTGCAACTGTGAGAATTCCGTCTGAGCCAACAAAAAAAAAAAAAAAAAAAAAAAAAAAAAACTAGAAAAAAAAAAAAAAAAAAAAAAGAACAAAGGGGGGGGGAGGGGGGGAACATTTATAGGCAGCGATTTTGTCTTACCTTTGACAGTTAAACTGTTCCCAAAGGCAAAGAAATCTGCACGAGCTGCACGCGTTTCTTCGTCTTCGAAATCATCATCACTGTACGGTTCATCGTCCTCATCATCCTCGTCGTAATCGTCCTCCAAATCCTCATCATCATCCTCAGGTAGCTCGTGAATGCGACCTCGTGAGGGGTGGTATTGACCATGTGTCCGAGTATGTTGGCCGGGCGATCGCAGCGGTGGTTGATAGAGCCGGGGCGGGGGGACAATCGGTGCGCCTTTCTCGAACGACCCTTGATTGTTGTTGGCGTATTGTTCTAGCTCTTCATAATAGGCATCGTACAGCACCTCCAGCTCTTCTTCAATCGCCGTCCTCTTCCTTCCACATACGGTGCAGCTGCACGAATGTTTTTGTTGTTCCTTCATCTTCTTTAATACCGCATCTTTTTCCACTTTGACTAGCTGTCTTCGTTCCTCCTCGCCTAACTCGAGCCAGAATGTTTTGATATTCTCACGTTCTTCTTGCGTGGAGGTGTTCCATATGCTGCGATCTTTGGACGGTTTGACAATTGTGCGCGGGCCCAGATGCGGGGGGAGAGGAGGGGGAAGAGGGTGTGTCATGCAAACGGAGGGGGTTGATAGTGGAGTGGGACTTTCATCACCAAGAGTTTGCGAGTTGGCACGGTTTTTCTTTCCCTTTTTCTTTTTTGATTTTCGACTCGTCGATTTCTGATCATCGGGCCCGTTCGTGTCCGGCTGGAAATCGTGATGCGCGCTGAAAGCGTCTAGTTCATCATCGTGATACGCGTCTCCATTCACAGAGTGATCGATGTCCAGTTCTTCGGATATGTGACTTCCTGGCCCAGCGGGACCGAGGCCGTTTCGGTCTGCGGCATCCGGGGGTACGACTCCATTTTCTGACTGGCGCTCCGCGGCCAAACGAGCGGCCTGCTTCTGGCGGCGTTTCTGTTTCTTGCGGTTCACTGTCATAGGCTTCGTATCTATCGACGATGGGGGAAGGTTTGCATTCGGAGTGTGAATGTCGCCATTGGTGGGGCGTGGAGGTGCACTCGACATATGATCTGACATTGTGGAGCTAGGAGGAGATCGGGGAGGACGTGGGGGAGCCATGGGATCATATGTTGTCTTTTGTAGGTCTAGACAGATGGCGGAAGGTCTTCTAGCGTTCTTCCAGCCCAGCCACCATGCTAAACGTTGCGCGAACTGGTCAGAGGAAGAATGGCTTATATAATCGCCAGTGACCACTCAACAGTTCACCAGCAATCTCTCTCAAACGAGTCCGAGCTGCTTATTTCCGGTGGGGGGAACAAAAGGGGACAATCGAGCTCCAAGTCTGAGTGTTCTGGTGGGAGTAAACGAGTGGCGGGTGGAGAGCAAAGGTTCGTCAAGGTCAGACGCCAGGCCGACACACGGGGAATGAGGGCGGAGAGGGGTGGAAAGGACCCGAGCCGCACGGCGAGGGGGCCCAGGCGTCAAGGGCGAGCGGAGAGGGGGGCCAATGTGGCCGGAGAAACTTAGGGGATCAAGGAGGGAAACGGACAAGAACTACGCTGGTCGTCGGCGAACAAGCGCAGCCAAAGCGGGATAGTGAAATTGGTTCAAGATGATGAGCGTAGATTCGGATGGTGGATCTTGACGCCGGACTTTGGGCTCTGGATGGTTGCCGTGCCGCTGGCCGCAAAAGGATAGCCGCCGCAAGCGAGGTTGATGGCCTGAGAAATCGGGCATTAAATGGTAGGCCATTTATCAGGATTCCATGTGGTCAGTCTGCCGGGCGGTAGACCACAAGCTGTCCATCATGTGATGTCCATGCTCATCAGCGTCATCAACACCCTTATTCAACTCGAAGTATGGAGCCCTTTCTTTTCTTTTCTTTTCTATTGGTTTGCAATCATTAGCTAAGATTATATAATACCGGGATTCTACGTCTTTTACAACTAGAGTACATTGACCGATATGAGTTACAGGGCTAGAACCCATGTCCGGATAGTACCTTTTTTTTTTCTTTTATGATTATGGATTTTATTTAATATTCTTCAAAATTAAATTTGTTTGAACGTTACAACTCGGTGGGGAAGTTAGTTCCTGATCCAAATTATTAGGTTCAGCGATATGCCGTCGACCGTTGTAGAAAAACCACGGCTGATCTTGAAGATAACTGAAGTATATACGGCGGAAGACCAAGAAGAAGAAGATTCAAGATGGTGATAACATGAAATAGTTTCGGCAACTCCGGGGAAATGCAAGACAGGATTCCTTCGGTCTATTATTAACTGGATCCGAAGTCCCCCTCCTGTCGGCTGTCGCAGCGCATTCCTCCACTGAAAGGGAATAGTGACAGCGACTATACGGTAATTATGAACGTCTAGCCGGTCGATGTCTGAGACAAACCTCTAACCTTAGTAACAAGTGGATTGACCTTGGCTTTGCCTTTCAGCTGCGGCACCCATCGGCCGATCTCATCCTTTGCGTTGATTATGGACGATGGACGATAGCTATTAATATCAGTGACTGGTTCTAACTTCTCGGGCTTCCATGGTCCCGGTTTATTTAAACTTGGACTCTTCGAAAGTGAGTGAGTGTATATGTATTGTCATTATACTTATTTCTTTCCCCCTACTTCACTCAATTGTTTTCGTTCTTTACCAATTATATTGTTCGTGTTTCTCCGGGCCTGAATCGGTACTGTTACCCGTAAGGAAAAGGGAGCCAGGCACCAATCAGACCGAAGTGGCTCCCTGTCAAGTCCCGTGTAAGTGTAATTAAAGCGGATCTTCCCATTCCAGGTTCAGTACCCATACTTGCGTACAATTGGATTGAATTTCTTGACACTGGCAGAACCCAGACCAAACATCCTTTCTTTCCTTTCTTTTCCCCTCCCCCAAAATGTGTGGCCGATCAATCTAATTGAACCTTTTTTAGTCTCCTCAGCCTCACCTCGACCGCCTTCCAGAACCACCGACTAACTACTCGTCTTTTTTTCCCTCCCCAAAACGCCCATCATCTTCAATCATCATTCCACTTAGTTACGACTAGTTACCTGGTTCGGAGGGGATTCCGCAACAATTTATTGTCCCCCTCTTTTTCCTAGGCTGCTATCAAAGAACACCACCCGTCAAGTCTTCCACCCCCAGTGATTTACTACAGCTGGTACCTGAAAGTCCAAAGCTCCGACCAGGGCATATCAACGCCCACCCTCCACTCAGGTCGCGTTCTTTGTCCCCCTTCGTTCAGCACCCCCGTGTTGTCTTGACGAAGGGATAACGAAGTGTCAGCCCACGTAGAAAATGGCCCAACAACAAAATGACAATGTTATGCGAAGGTATGTGCGACAATGTCTGCATCGGCGAAGTGGGTCGAAAACGTCCGACTATTCATTGCTATTTTTTTTTTTTTTTTTTTTACCGGAGTTCTACTCCTTTCATGCGCTCTCAAGATAGTCACTTCTACTGTGTCCCCTCTCGTGGCTCGGAAATTGAAACTGGAGCTTGCGTTCAATCCTGCTTCCGTTCATTATGATGCTGATTTGAAAATTACCATAGGAAGTTGGTGATTATTGGAGATGGTGCTTGTGGGAAAACTAGTTTGCTGAGTGTCTTCACCCTTGGTTATTTTCCGACTGTAAGTACTGCCTGGATTACATCAAGTCCGATAAGAGTGCATAAGACACAAGCTAACTGTTGAGTTTGTTTGACAGCATTATGTCCGTAACCCTGTGCCCTCTCAATTATGGTGTCTGCCTAGTGCATGGTCTGACTGTTGCGCGTGTTGATCCAGGTCCCCACGGTTTTCGAGAATTATGTGACGGATTGCAGAGTTGATGGCCGGTCGGTACAATTAGCATTATGGGATACGGCTGGCCAAGAAGACTATGAACGGTTGCGTCCGCTAGCATATTCCAAAGCGCATGTGATTCTGATCGGGTTCTCGGTGGATACTCCGGATTCCTTGGAGAACGTCAAGCACAAGGTTGGTGCCTCACTTTCCCCGCCACTTACTGGACCAGATTTACCTAATTCAACTGCAGTGGATCGAGGAGGCCAATGAGCGGTGCCCAGGTGTGCCGATAATCCTAGTTGGCTTGAAGAAAGATCTCCGGGAAGACCCTCTCGCAATTGAGGAGATGAGAAAGAAGTCCCTAAAATTCGTCACATCGAAGGAAGGAAGTGACATTTCGACTCAAATCGGCGCTAGAAAGTACTTGGAATGCTCCTCCTTGACCGGGGAGGGGGTTGACGACGTCTTTGAAGCTGCTACACGTGCTGCTCTTCTCACGTTCGAGAAGCGTAAAAGCTCATGCTGCATCGTGCTATGATGCAACATCCATGGCTTGTGTTATATATGTCGACTAAGGGGGTTCGGCTCAAGGGTCTGCCAGCAGCAACGGAGATAATCACGCCGTCCTGGCATTATCAATATGCCTAACGGACTCAGCCTGGCCCACGCGTTCCGTCGAGTTTCTTAGATTGGATTACCAAAAGGGAGGGTAAAATCTTCGATGAATGTTGATCGACATCTTTTGCATTACCGGCGTTTGGGTGGCCTTTTTCACTTTTGCCCGATTTGACACAACACCTTCTGACTTGCGTTCGTCGCACATAACTCATTCGTCGTATGGGCTTTTCTTTCTTCTTTTTTTTTTTTAAAGACACGACACATGTTGACTTGTTTCCGGAGTACATACTTTGTGACTTTCCTTTATACTCGAGTGCACTCCGCAGTCTCTCCTTTGGTATGATACCTAGCCTTTTGGCGCATGTTTTCCGCTTCGTTATGAATGCTGTCTCTCCCTTTTTTCTTCTCTTCTGTCCCATGTCTTCACACTACCTAGCACATTTTCTATCTTTAGCGATTGATATTTCCTGCTTTACTGTCAGCCATCTTGATACTACCAATAGCTGTCAACCTGCAATATATGTCTTTAACAACTCTCGACTCTCAAAATTACTTCCCTACCCGGCCCGTAGACCAGATACTCGACAGAGCATATCCTATACACCACACGCGTCATCTCAAAGAAAGAACAAATATTGAACAATGTTATGGTACAGTACATGCCAACAAGAATATCTTCATACCCCGCAATAGATATAATAAACAAGAGACACCAAAGCTCAGCGTAGATCTCCCTCCTGGAATAAATGCACACTAACCCTCCCCTTCAGTTCATTTCTTCTCCATCCTCTTCCATTCATGGTTCCAGCCCTCCTGACTCGGCGCTTCAGTCTGCAACCGACCATACTCAATCGGGAACAGATCTCTAAAAACACCGCGCTTGTTCATCGACTTCCGGAACAGCTTGCCTCCATCTCCCGCTCCAGTCCGGAGCTCCTCACACGCGGCGTTCATCGCCTGCCACTGGCGCTGAAGCTCCAGCTGCTCGGAGCGGCGCTGCTGCGCCTGGAACAGTTGCCAGGCACGGTGGATGGTCCAATGGCGGAGATAGCGAGTCCGGGAGAAACGGAGGGGACGAGGCGTCTTGGGGTGGTGCAGGAAATAACGGATCAGAGCTACAATGGCCTTAGTTAGGCTTTTTTTTCCTTTACTTGTCCATTGCGGTGATCCTCAATGTCATCACACGACCGATGACTTCAAGATCCCAATTGGGGATAACAATGGATGGGATATACATACTAACTCGGCGATCTCCGCGAGGACCATTGCCCTTCCTCTTGAGCAAGGCGTTGGTGGTCGAGAATGATCTTGCGGCCGGGGCCTGGACGGCGGAGGTGACGGGGCCGCTGGTCGATTTCTTCAGCAGGGCTTCATTGCACATGCGGGTCACGGACGGCCGTGTCGATGTCTGCGAGATAGGGATTCTGAATACGTTCGCCAGGGAGGCGAGCACGGGCGAGAGGGACCGCATGGCGTGAGAGTTGGGGGGGGG